TGAACCAATTTTGGAAGCAAGCAATTTAAAGGTTGATCTATATTAAGCGCTGTGCCATTAAAGCAGTCCAGCTGTACTGAAATATTACCCAAGAAAGCCTCTTGAAGTTAATTCAAGAAATTAGGTTATTTTACAGCCAGACACAGCTAGAGTCAATGATTCATAGTAATTTACTCATGGTTCTACAGTCAGGATGCCACTGTAGAAGGAAAAACAATAGAAAAATCCAAAACAAGCAGTACCCAATAAAAAAAATGGATGTATAATGCCTGTTGACCTGAAATTAACATTTAATTCACACTGGTGCCGTGTTTTAATTGAGTTGAAAGAGTAACAGATTCGGTTTTCTATCACACGCTAGTCTATTCATGTTCTCACCCCATTGCAGCAACACCCAATTGCTTTCCAGTAGTGCATTAAGCAACACCTCCTTTGTTCTCTCTTCCTCTGCCCCAGGGGAGACGTTTGTAGGAGGATTTGCTTTGATAATTTGGATGCTTCTCTTTAATGTATATGTTGCAATGTATTTATGTCATAAAGGCAGGTTAAATAACCTTGTTTACATTTGGATGATGATGTTTGCAATTGTCTTAGCTCCTGAGGGAATTAATTCCATAGTCTTGGACCAGGCTTTAAAAGTTTTCAACCACCCGCAATAAGGAGACACCTTAGAGCCAAGGGGTAATTTTTTTTTCTTCACTTTTGTCATGTTTTTTCATCTTGAGTTTTAGTCTGTCTTCTAGATGACTGGTTTTGAAAACAAGGTGTGTGGACTCAAGGGGTATGCAAGATATTCCAATGGGGTGCACAAAGAAAATACATTCTGTACCATTAATAAATAAATAAATTAATTTTATCTTTAGCTCATCCTTCTTTAGTTTTCATTTTTGTCTGTGTTTGCTAATGTGCATAATATATCATGATGACATTAGATATATATGTAATTTATAAATAAAAAATACTAATATATTGGGAATGCATGCTCAAAGTTTTTTTAGTGATAGGGGTACACTACCTAAACGTTTTGAGACCACAGTTCTAGAGAGCCCTATCTATCCCCTCATGATAGTGCACCCTAATAACATTGAGATCCCAAATTTTGATCAGTATTTGTAAGCCAATGCAAAAAAACCCCTAGTATAACCATCAAACATGCTTTAAAAACTGCTGCTGTTGTGGAAAGTTGCTACAACTTTCCTATACCACATGGATTTCCCTGGTGCCCAGAATCCCCAGCAGAAATAGCATGTAGCTGTGCTCTAGCCAAGAGGTGTAAGAAATTTGAGAATAGAGCACAACAGAGCTGCGAACACAGGAGTCTCCTGGCCAGGAATGATTAAATATCGCTGGCCTCACGAGCTGCTTTTAGAGTACCAGCACAAAACCCAGAATTGCTCCCAAACTGTAGACTGAACTGACCGTGGGTTTGTGCATTTGCACCAAGGAAACTGCAATGGACAGTAAATTCTCCAAAAGTAATTTCTCTGAGAACCATTTCTGTCTTCCAGAGACTTCTGGTTCAAGAGTTGATACCTTTATGTCCTGTCCTTGAAAACACAATGGAGCTGTTGATGTGAGTGTTGATGTGACACAGGTTGGTGACCTGTGCTAAGTGCATTACCATTAGCACCTGGTTTTGAAAATATAGCCTCCTTAGGTTAAATCAAATTATTGTAAAGGTGCTAACTGTAATTTTGAAAATACACACACACAGATGGGTCTGCAAGACTTTTCTTGAAGTAGCCACTTTGATTTAATTTCAACAGTACTATACCTTAACCCATTCTCTGTCATACAAAAACAATTAGATATTTTCCAGTTTATTCACACCTTCTAGAAAAGCCTCGTAGTTATACTGAGGTACCAGGTTTTCACAAAGCATCAGAGTTCATACTTTAGCAGTACTATAAAAATGGAGGGATGTGGGAGGGGAGGAGTTCCTAGTGAAAACAAGAGATGCCTTTTTGAAATGCTCATTTAGCAAAAATGTTCCCCACAGAACATTAAGATGTAGCAGATTAGGACAACTGCTTGTCCATACCACAAAGAAGAGGAAGAGGAGGGAAAAAAAAGGATGTTGAGCAAGAGCATTTCAGGGTGGCACCTGAAGTGCTAATGCTTCTGAGACACACTTTAGGTCCTGCCATAGTGACGGGAACAGTGACCAATATTTCAGCAACATTTTCCCAGGCCTTAAAGGGAGTGTCCAAGGTAACAATTGGTTTTCCTTCTAGGATTCTGATTCAGATAGGGGAATGCATTAGATGTAAGGTCACCAACACTGAATGTGGGAACCCCTTGTAGCACTGTGTGTGGAGAGAAATGTTTTGGCACAGCTGAGTGCTCTGATGGTTTGGCTTTGGGAAAACGTACATCAGGGAGAAGGATGGCACAAGGGCAGTGCAGAGGCAGGCAGCGTTGCTGTGGAGTCCTTCCCTTGCTTGCACTAGGGTGCTTTGGGAAAAACAAAAAGAAAAGGGAGCATCAGCTCAGGGAATGGCTGGTGAAGTTGGCAGGGGATATTTCTAAGGACAAAATGGAGTGTCAGGGTCTTGAGTCTGCTCCCATCTTCCTGAGAGTTTGGTTGTCTGGGCTCAGGGCCAACTCAGAGACACTGCAGGTAGTGACCTTGAGGAAAACTCTTACTGAAAGCAAAGCAGGGTGGCATCAGCCAGGGCTGCCCCTCCTTCTCCTGGAACCTGCATCAAAGTTGATTCTGTTCACTTTCCTCTTCCCTTTGGTCCCTGCCTGTGTTAAGCTGCAGTGGCACTGCAGCCATGCCTGTGCATTGCCTGCCAGACTGACAGAAGAAAATATTTGCACAGCTGTGTCTGGCATTGGCAACAGCAGAAATTGCAACATCTATAATGTGTTCAGAAGTATTAACATTTGAGAGTGCTAGCCCTGATCCTTACTGACCTGACAGCATTTTTGCTGGCAGATTTCACTTAGTTTTAGGAATTTTGATTTAAATTTGATTTTCTGAGTGAATAAAGCTATCCTATCTACAATATTCTAAGGAATCATTTTAATTCCCTCCAGCAAATACAGTTATAATTATGGCCGCTGTATAGAATTGTTGCATTAGCAAAGTATACCAATAATTAATTGGCTTGTATAGTTTCTTTATCTCCTCCCAAGAAAGGAATCCAAAAAGATGGTCCTACAAGAAGGACATTTCAATAAGCAGAATTTTCAAATTCATTCCTGGACTGACTCCACCCAGCTGAGATTCTGCACTCCATGATAACTGTTAATAACTGCTCAGTAATGAATATGAGGCAGCCTGAATGGAGATATATGCCTTCTGTGAACTTTGGTAACTTAAGCTGGAGTGTACCACTGGCCCACCAACAGATTTCACAGTAGGAAAAATGTGTAAGATTATCCAGAAAAACAAGAATTGGATAGTTGGATAAAAAGAGAGGGATACATCAGATTACCCAAAGTCAGCAGTCAGAGCGTTAAGAGGAGTCTGTAACCTGACTGAAGGGGCAGACTGATCAAAGTCACAGGGAAAATGCAGTTGTTTAAGTACCCAGAAGGACTTCATTCCCTTCCTGATTAGAGAGTATCTTTGACAGCTCATTTACTGCCTGACAAAGCACATCCATCCAAGCTGCAGACTGAAAAATACAGGACTACTATGGAGACCCACCAAAGAAATGAAAGACATGAAAGAACAAAAATGTACTGTTTTTCCAGTCAGACAAGGGTTGAAAACCAGATGTTTTCAGAACTGACCACTGTTCAGAAGAGACACCTAACCCAGACAGACAAAAGAACCAGAAGCCTGTGAATAAGAAAGAATAACAAATCATAGCTATAAACATGCTAAATTACTTTAAACGAGGTTGAAGCAAAGTGGAGATGCCTTGCATTTGTGAACACTAAACTGTCCAAAGCTGTAGCCATAGGAATAAAAAAATAAATAAATCAATCTCTTCATCATCTGAGCAGTTGGCCACAATGAATGAGCAGATTTCAGCCTCCTTTAGCACACTTTAGATCAGATCTTTTAGTTCTATTTCAGGAAAATATATTTTTTTTAGCAAAATCCTATGTTCTTTCTTCATGGAAGCACATGAAAATATCTAGAGGTTGAAGTACTTCACTGGAAAAATATAATTTAGGCTGTGGGTGACTGACTGAAACAAATAGCAGGGCTGTCCTTATGTACAATAAAAAATGGGGAAAAAAAAAGAAACTACAAAAACTAGTTATGTGAAGCTACAACATTAAGAGCAGAATTTTCCAAAAGAAGAGATAGTTAGTAGTCATAACAACAACAGTGGTAGATAAAGCACAATCTCTTCATAAAGATGTTTAGGAACGCCAACATGAAAATACAAGTAAATGTAATTTAAAGAGATTAGGAAAAAATGGTGCAAGGGATCCATGAAAGAAGCGAAACCACTATGCATCCCATGGGCCTTGCAAGCAAGCTAAGGGTGTAGCTAGAGGAGAAGGCTCTGCAACAGTAAGGGCACATCTGGAAAGAGGGTGGCAAGGACAGCTCTTCACAGCCAAGCAGACAAAACCCCTTTCAGAGGCCTGTAGGCAACTGGACCCCCCTAGGTTTAAGAGTAATATGAGGTCTTTCACATGACCATGAGAAAATATACAAACTGGGAATGAAGTCTGGAGCCCCCTCACTGGATGTGAACTTCAGCCAGTAGTGTACAAACAGTGTGACACAGCCCCAGAACAGACTGTCCCTGGGTCGAGGGGCAGCACTGCCACCCTGCATCCAGGTGCTGCCTGTGCATCTGGCATCCTTGACAGGAACAGCTCAAGTTTAGGATAAGGAAATGATGCATTTAATTTTGTAAGACTAATAGTTGAAATTCACCCATTATACCTTCTGACACAGTTTGTTGAATAAGGCAGTTTTTACACCTCTGGATGCTTTCAAATTATTTTGTATTGCCAAAGTGGTATAAAAGTACTTAGTATGAATGAGATTTAAGCCAGAAATGTGTAACAGGAAAGGCACAGACCTGTTTGGAGAAGCTACAATACCCATGGTGCAGACAGGAGTAAGTCATGTGCTGGCACTCAGCTCGCAGACAGGTGTGCTGGCTGCTCAGTGACATTATCATTCTTCCAGTTGTTCCTTACCACTCCTCTGCCGAGAGTTTCCACCCCCGCAGCTCTGTTGGCAGAAGGAATTAAGTGAGCACTCCCTCGTGTGCTTCCAACAAGTCAGATGGATTAGTCAACAAAGAGGGTTTAAACCAACCTGCTCGCTTTGCCTGAAGCAAATGAAAGTGCTCCTAAACAAACCTTCTTACCAGCTGAGCTAGCAGTAACGGCAGCATCGGAGGGGAAGCGTGAAGGTACAAACTGGCAAAACCTTCAAGTGGCACATTTACATCTGGTACACACTGGTACACACTGTTGTCTAGAGATTTATATGTAAGCACAAGTTATACCATCTTACACACACAACTGTCCATATGTATATGTTATACTTCAGGAAACACAAAGTAGATGCAATTACACTGAAAATTCTTCTACTAAGAATGGGCTAAATTAAGGCACATTATCTCATATTTATTGTGTGCTAAGAGCATGCAAGGGAACAGGTATCAGACAATGGATGGTTAGCTTTCATTCATAATATGTTTGTAACCTGAGGTTATAGCGCGTGATTGTGCAAAATTAAGTAATGGACCTGAAAAGATTGTGATTTACTTTTCCAAATATCACTTACAAGGTAATTCCAAGACAAATTATTGCACAAACTCAATTTGAGTTAAACCTCAGAAACAGCTGCCAATTTAGTCCAAACATGCTGCTGACACACAACCAATGTGAGAGTTTCTACTTAGAGGAATTACACTTTCAAGTCTTCTCCAATTGTAATCTGGAAATAAGGATTGTAAAATAACTAGATATGCCCATGCCAGGCTGGAAAACAATGAAATTCCAGCACACACAAGTCTTCCCATGGCATTCAGCTCTCCCTAGGCAGCTGAACACGTGCCACTAAAATCTACTTTGGTATGTGCACTTCAGTGACACCTGAGCATAAGGAGAACTGCAAACTAAGGATGGCATCAAGGTTTCTGAGTTTTTCCTTATTAGCTTCAATCATTGTATTCTCTTCCTGGTACTTGTGCTGTGGAGTAGCAGAGTTCAAACTACAAAGTGCCAGCTTATACTATTTATTTTTGGCTATGATCTATTTTACCACTTCTGGGGTATCAGGAAAAATGTGCAGTGTTCCTGCCCTGGTAATAAAGCTCCAGTTCCAATACATTCACTTTCCTGTGTGATCCCCACAGCAGAGAAATGCTTTTGCTTGAGAGACAGGAGCACCTATGAGTCAACTTCCAGCTTCCAAAATCCCTCAATATGCAGGAGTATTTGAAGTGAAACTTTCATATGCCCAGGAATATAGATTTCATAACACAAAAATCATATTAGTGAGCCTTGAAAGTTCTTTAAAAGAAATTTTGAACTTTCCTTACTGAACACCCAGACTCTAGGACAGGTGGACGGGGCAACAATCCATCAGTTTCAGAAGCTATCTTGGAAGAGTCAGCCTCATCATGAAAGTGTTGCTTAGGTCGCAGCAGGAATTGCAGGACATGAATCATTTCAGTTATAACATGCTATTAGTATGAGTGCATTTTTGCTGAAAGTGCTTGTGATTGGTACACACTAGGATGCCATGACGTTTGTCATGTCATGATCTATTTCTCACTCATTTCTGTAAAAGTTAGATCTGACTTTAAATAGTCTCCTCAGCTGCAACAAAAAGAGACACTGGATGTGTGTAACAAAGTCACTGGCCATGGTGGTGGGCTTGGAATTATGTGACACTTAAGGTCCCTTTTAACAAAACCATTCTATGATTCTATGGATTACACACAGGCATCAATCATGCAAGTATGAGAATTTAATCCTCAGAGTCTTGCACAACAGGTTTTATCATCTAAAAGGAGAATATCCTACGCTTTTGTGTGGGAGCTTGCAATTTGTTCACTGAAAACCTAATTCAGCAGTATATACAAACACATATTTAAAAGTCTTGGTAGAGTGAGATTTAAGTAGTATTAAATATGAAATACAATGATTATATTCATGCACAAAAGAGTTTTGTAAACCATTCTACCTAGATATATATACAGCTGGAGTGATGAACAAGATATATGTGATTCTCACTCCATTTTCACAGCATTATGGCAATTTAATTTTAAATATTGGACAAACCAAAAATAAGTAATAAGTAATGCCTTCCTGGACAGTGTCCCCTGCACAAAGTACTACCAGTGACTGGCAGTTGCATAGTTATATTTGGATTTTTCCAGGTTTGGAGCAAAATGCCACACTACAACAGTGTATGTAGCTTTGAGGTATCAATTATTAATTCTGTTGTCTTGTGTGAGGCACTGGCTTTTCATTTGCAGGAAGCTGAATCGGTTTATGTTTCTTCCCAACTAACAGTGGAAGATTTCTACATCTTTCTGTATCACAGGAGAAAGAAACAGAAAGAATCAAGGACTATCAGAAATATAAGGTAAGGAAGCTCCATGTTGTGTCTGGAGAACTAGATTTCAGACTGAATAAAACTGCATTTTCCATCTATAGTACTAAAATAGTTAACCTCTAAACATTTCTTACCTACACTCCCATCGAAGAGTGTAAAATCAAAGATATCCTGGCTGTTGTCCAAATTAATGAACTTTGGCAGTAAACATTACTGATTCTGAAGAGACTGTGGGTGAAAAACATATGTTAAAAAATACCAGCAGGTGTACATCAATGGCTATTTTTTAATTATGAGCCGTAGTAGCATGTGTGCTTTTCAGGGGAATTGAAAAGCTGAAGAAGAAACTGCAATGTTGTTACAAAATAAATTCATTTTTGCTACAGCATCTCAGGATGGAAATATTTTGTCCTGCTATGAACAGAATAGAAAACTGCATTTGCAACAAAGCAGTCTGAAAATGAGAATTTCTGCTGTGAAGATTAAGTGGTTTGCAAATTTTTGCAAATTATGCAGCAACAAAAAGCCTCATGCAAAAGTTAATATTACCTAGGGAGACCTGTGTCTGCGAAGACACTCCAACAAATGCAATTAATAAGCAGACCAATGCAATCTTGATTCTAGCATGGCAGAGCCATTATAGAACAATTAAATTAGCAACTATGATTCTGTTATGTTCCCTTTTCTGAGAGCACTGTTCAGTGGTTTCCACCATCCCTCATAGTGAGCTGACAACAGAGGCATGATGAGACCACTCGGGAGGAGCTATTGCAAAAGCTCAATACCTGGGGAGAGTCTGAGAGGGCGTCTCTGAGAAATTCACTGTAACTGTAGCATTGGCCCTGCTTTGAACTGAGTGAACTCCAGAGGCTGCCTCCAGTCGAAATCATTTTATGATTCTGTATCGATTTGTTACCACTCGAGATTACCTGTTGCAATCAAGAAACACCTACTTCCACTTCAGAACAGGAGCCCTACAGCTTATCTGACCATTCCTCCTGTGTGTTTGGCAGCTCATTCCTGGATGCCCACGGAATAGGTTTTTAGGAGACCAGTCCAGCGTGCACTTAATGTTCCCGGAGATGACAAGCAGCCTACTCAGTAAATGTGAATCCCAGCAGGGATTCTTCCTGCAAACTTTCTGTATACACTCACTGCCATCTGCACTGATTTAAACATATAGTAAGAAGGAATCTACACCACAAAATATTTATTTAAAAACAATATAAAATGGGTAAGAAATTCTAACGTACGTAAAGGCTGACTTAGCTGACAAATGAGAATCAAGGTGAGAATCAAGTGACAGGAATGCAAAATTTACATCATAAAATACATCACAAAACCTAAAACTTTATGAAGTACAGGTCTGTTTTATGTTGTATAGAGGCTGTATCATGAGAACTCTTTGCTTCAATGGACCCTGACCTGTATCATTACCTTCATCCTGTGCCCCAATGAGGCACAGCAAATTTAAAACTTCTTTTACTCTCATCATTCATCCAACTCTTTGCTTAGATTTAAACCATTTTTGCTCCTCTAATGGAAATCTGGTACTGCCTTTTACAGTTACTCTGTTTCTCCATGACACTGAGTCTCCTCTCCATTCCCCTGAGAATTGCAGAAATATTTTCCCAGAATATAAGCTAATTTTCTACCAAATATCTCCTTTTCACAATCAATTATTTGGAAGGAAGAAATCATTCTGGTTTATAGATTTTTTTAAAGTATTCTTGCAAAGTCTTCTCAAAAGCTTAAGGCCAGCTGTTCCAGACCCCTGCCTATTTCCAGGCCAAGACACAGGGGTTTGTGGTTTTTTAACTACTGAATATATGTATGAGCACCACATGACATCAACAACACCACACTTCTTCAGCTGGAAGTCTCCATCATCCCTTTTTAAGATATTTTGTTATCTGTAGATCTGGACCTGGCTAAATGTTCTTCACAGTGGCTGGATGGGCTGGCATTGCTGAACTGCATTGGCACCCAGGCCTTTTCTATTTCTTGCTCTGTTGCCCCAGTGAACAAATAGGGGGGGTGCCAAACAGGGGGCGGGTGACACCACTAAAGCAAGGACAGCGGTACTCCATGCTGCATAACATCGTGCTCCCGGGCAGAGAGGGAAATACACCATCTTTTTCTTGGGAACTGGAATAGCCTTGGGGAGTGGACAGTGACTGCCTGAACACTTGTTCTGGTTTCCTTCTCTCATTTTTGCACATACCGAGCTATGCTGTACCTTGACCTACGCGTTTTCCCCCACACCGGGCGTGGGGCAGAAGCGAGCAGCGGCATACTGAACGGGCTGCCCAGAGAGACGGCGGAGTCTCCCCGTTATCCAGGAGCCCCTGGAAGCAATCCCGAGCCACGTGCCGTAGGCTGGCCGTGCTCGAGCAGGGGTTTTGGCCCCGCTGACCCACGGCGGTGCCTCCCGGCTTTTCCCGCCCCGCGGTCCCGCGCAGCCCGCGGCGCTCCGGCCGCTCCCGCCCCGCGGCGGCGTCGCCCGCGCCGCGCCTCGCGCCTTGCGCGCGGCACGGGGACCCGCCCCGCCGGCACGTGCGGGAGCCCTCGCGCCGCCCCGCGCGCCTCTAACGGTACCGCCGCTCCGGGGCCCCGGGGAGCCTCGGCCGCTGCTCCGCGGCCGCCGCTCGCCCCGCGGGACCCACGGCGTCCCCCTTCCCTCGCTGCTTCCGGCAGCCGAGGGGGCAGGCTGCGGCCCCTCGGCGCGGGCAGATGCGGGGGGAAGGAAAGGAAAGGAGGGGCGGCGGGGGTCGACCCCGTCCCCCCTCCCCCCCCCCGCCCCACAATGGGCGGGGCGGGGCGGGGCGGGCGGTTCGTGACGCGGCGCGGCCGCAGCGCGCGCCCGCCCCCCGCCGGCCCCCCCTCCCTCCTGCCCGCCCCCCGCTCGCGCCCCCCCTCCCCTCCCCTCCCCTGCGGCGGCGGCGGGCGGCGGCCGCGGTGCATTGTGGGCAGCCCGTTGTTCATTTGCCACCCGACCCGATCCGGGGCCTGTCGGGACGGAAGCGCCGCCGCCGCCGAGCGATCGAGCGGGATCCATTGTGGGCAGCCCCGCGCCCGCCGCGATCCAGGCCGGACCCGGGGGAGCGGGGAGCGAGCGGCCGGACTTCGCTTCTCTCGGCCGCCGCCCCCGCACGGCAGCCGGGCGCCTCCTTCCCCCGCCCCGTTCCCGCGGCGGACGGAGCGCTCGGCCGGGCGGGGGGCGCGGGGTGCGCCCGCCATGTTCGCGGAGATAAACCGGCGGACGCTCGCGTTCCGCGGCGGCGGCCTCGTCACCTCCGCGGCGGCCGCCTCGGCGGCGGGGGCCGAGGCCTGGGAGCGGCAGGACCCCGAGGCGCTGAACGGGCGCGGGGCGGACGAGGAGGCGGAGCTGGAGGGGCTGGAGGCCGAGGAGCTGGAGGCCACCGCCGCCGAGGAGAAGGAGCTGCTGCTGCCCCAGGACGCGGCGTCGCCCCCCGCCGCCGCCGGCCCCATGTTCGCCGAGAGGAACCGCCGGACTCTGGCCTTCCGCGGCGGCGGGGGGCTTCTGGCCGCCCACTCCGCCGCCAACAATGGCTGCGAGGCCGCGGCCTGGCCGCGGAAGCACTTCAATGGGCGGGGGGCGGACGAGGAGATGGAGCTGGAGGGCGCGGAGGGACTGGAGACGGAGGGGCTGCTGGAGGGCAAGGAGCTGGTCCAGGACGGGGGTTCGCTGAGTGACAGCAGCGACGACGAGGAGGACGGCGAAGGGGGCAGCCTGGGCGATGGCAGCGGCGCCGAGGGCGGCAGCTGCAGCAGCAGCCGGCGGTCGGGGGGCGACGGCGGGGACGAGGCGGAGGGCAGCGGCGAGGGGGAGAGCATCCGGCACTTCCCGCTGGCCAGGCCCAAGTCCCTGCTGCAGAAGCTGCACATCTCCTTCCAGGGCTCCTGGCTCAAGGAGTTCCCGTGGCTCTACTACTGCCAGGAGACCGGCCTCATGTCCTGCGCCTGGTGCACCGCGGCCGTGGCCGCTGCCGCGCCCCCCGAGGTGATCATGTCCGGCGCGCCCCTGCCCGGGGGGCACGACGAGCTCTGCAAGGGCACCCGCAACTACAAGCGCACTCTGCTCCTGCGGCACCACCTCTCCGCCGAGCATCGCCTCAACGAGCCCGGCAGCGCCGAGCAGGTACGGCACGGGACGGGGAGGGGGCAGCGGGGAGGGAGGGGCAATCCCGGCCTCCCCTCTGCATAGGTGAGGTTTTCTTGTGCTCACGTGTGTGAACTTCTTCAAATGGCTCTCGAGGTGGATGTTGGCCGGCGGGCTGGCCACGCCGCGTTGCTCTCGCTCGCCGCGTCCGGAGCGGTAGACGAGCCCCCTCTGGGATTTGGGGTGACTCTCCCGCTGGATGTGGTCAGGTACACAAAGACAGCACGAGCTCTAATTTGTGGCTGTATTCCATTCCCGTTGTCTGTCCGGCCCTGGCGGGTGCCCCTTTCATTAGTTCATCTGTTTATCTCGTGAAGATAAACCGGCGATGTGGGAAAAAAGTTGCGTACGAATCCCAGTGTCACAGCACTGATTTAAATACGCTCGTTACAACTTCCTCCTGCGGTACAGGCGGAGGGAGGGCAGTGTCCGGCCAGCGACCGCTTGTGAAATGGGGGCTCGGCGGCGTGAAATTGGAATCGCTCTGCCGTGCTTAGCGGTGTGGCCCCGGTGCACTAATCGGATAACTCCGTGTATTTAAGTTCTTCGCGCTGAAATCTTTTTTTCCCGATTGCGTTGCCTTAGATTGAGTTGCTGAGCAAGAAGTCTGCAATCGCTTAGTGTGTGTTTGAGATAAACATGTGGTTTCCTGAAAGCCGTGTTACTATGCCAGCGCTCCTCTAGCGCTGTAGGAGTAGTGAAACTCTTCTCGTTCTCCGCTGAACTTCAAATCATTGTGTTTCTTGGCTGCTTTCACGAATGAGGCAGGGCTTGCCCTAGAATATATGTGGATGAAAAGCCCATAAAGAATACTTGTGTTGAATCTGCAGCCTTTTCTCCTAGGGATTCCTGTTTTGCTAAAGTTCGCTGGATCGCTTCGCTGGCGTTAAACTTGCCTGCGGGCATTAGCTAAGTGTTGCTTCAGGTTAGGCTAGTCCTTGAATTGTTAGGCTGTTAGCTGGAATTAATTGATTAGTCACTCCGTTTTTCTGCATTTAGAATTCAGTTTTAATTAAAACACCCACCCTGGTTGGGTAGCTTTATTTGGAATCTGAAATGTAATGCGTTAGTTAGATTGAGGTTATTGCTTGAGCACTCTTAAGGAGCTCAGGGTACCTTGGACAAGAGCTGCTAGTCAAATGTTGGTGCAGGATATCAGGATTACAGAATGATTTATAAAACGTTAGGTGAGCTATAGTTTTCTTAGAATTACTTGGAAAATGTATGCAAATTTTTTGTGAAGCTATTGCAGGACTGCAAGGGAAACCTTATGGTGCACAAATAGGAGTTATCCAAAATATTATTTTTGGATTTACAAATGCAACATTCACCTTTAAGATGATTAATACTACCTTTTCAGTGAGTGTAGTTTTATAGTACCTGTTGTTACAGATGTTATGTGGTAGTAGGTCATCCTCTCAGTTTTCTTCAGTCTTCTGGGGTTTGCTATTTACTGTGCAATGTTTTTTCTAAACTTGCTTTCAATGAGTTGTTTCTAATTAAGAGACTTATATTCTTTGTTTCTTTTACTTCTTCATAGCTTTGAAAATGTTCCAGTTTTGCATAATGCTATTGTAGCATATTCCTTACTGTCTTGTTGACTAGCTCCTAACTTTGAGTTGTGAATAATTACTCTGTAGAAGTATGTTGTTAACTGTGTAGCCTCCTGTGATAGTGGATGCTGCTAATCCCTGCTACATTTGGAAGCTTCTCTCACTCTGTTTTAGCTGTATTTAAATATAAGCTATTTCAAGCATTTTTTTCTCTACTCAGATAACTATTTTCTTTCTGTCCTCTGTCTTGTAAAACTGTTAAATACTGGGAGGGTGGAAGGGAGGACAGAATATTGGGTTGTTATCACAGTAGTCTACAAGTTAATGTAAGTATGTATTTGAAGATTGTGTTTATTTGAGGACCTTTCATTGTCATGGGAATATTTTTAAAAATGAATCTGCTTTTATACCACTGGTAGTTTAAGAAAAAATATTTGTACTAACTGTAATAATAAATGAAACAGTAGGATAGATGAGTCAGTGGTTCTTCTACACTGTGCTAAAGATAAGGTTGGGACAAAGGTAGCTATAAAGTGATTGCTTTTTTTTTTTTTTTTGAGTGGAAAACAGTGCTTTGTGCATCCTTCTGCAATTACATTTCAGTTAAAAACTTCTCACGAGGGAAGGAATTGGAATTTTTCTGGAGTCAGTCTACTTGTGGCAAACTTTGACGTTACCATTGCTTTATCAAAAACCTGATTAAGAATCTGTTTTCTTTCCCTTCTATGTTTAATTTCCGTATGCTTTCATACTCTTAATGGCACTTGAATTTCTTTTGATACATATGTTTAAATTAATACCAAAACAATAGCCCCATTTTTTTCCTAAACGCCATGATACCAGATCCTTGGAACAAAAGTAGGTACTTTGTACCCTGACCGTATTTCCAACATACATAATGAGGCAGCAAAGCTGTTTAGGTTTAATGAAACTTGGGAGAGATCTTTCAGCCTTTGTGTTAGAGACAGCACACATGTATTATGGACTTGACAAGCCTCAACTGCAGGGCATGTTTAGCAGCTGCTAATAAACATATGGCATAGTGCCACCACTCAAGCACAGAAAGGAAATCGAAGGTGTTAAGACAGTAAAGCAGTGGAAATTTCTATAGGTCTGTTGGATATTACACTCGTGAAGAAATGAGTGATGATTTCAGTTTATTTTTGGGATACATTTAATTTGGAATGCCAAAATACATCACAAGTGGTTGCAGCTGCTGTAATTCAAGGGTATTGAGCTGTCAGCCTATGCTTCTTTCTAAGACCAAATTCTTGAATCCTTTTCTATTCTAGTTTTTAAAATAATTTTTCTCCACATTAAAGCTTAAGGAAATTTATCATCATCTTGACAGATTTTTGCTACCTTTGTTTTTGTAACGAACAGACTACTGTGTTGCAAGAATCTTCAGAAATGGATGCTTAGTGGGACATCGTGGCAAAATATTTTAATTCTTTGATGAATTTGGGTCCATAAGATGCAGATTTATTGGCTGCTGGGGAGTCCTCTCCTAAAACCATCTTCTTAAAACATTTTCTTTCTGGACATAATTTAAAGCTAAGCTTTGGAAATACTGCCAGAAAAGCTTTCTCCAGTCTAACAGGCATGTTGGTTTAAAGCAGAAGCTCTCCAAAAGGAGGAAGGCCTTTGATGTGTTATTTTTTCCATGTGAACTGGAATTGTTTGCATTATGTGAGCAGTGATGAATGGAAGTCATGCTTCAGATTTTAGAGTTACATTACAGTGTTCTGAGTTAGCTTCTTGACTTACTCTTAGCAGAGTGAAGAAGTTGAGGAGGACATCAGGCCTTAGAGTAAACACTATCAGTGTATTTTCATGTAGTGTTTTTATCAAACCTCAAACTAATCACTTCGATATTAGGCAATTGATGAAATAATTTGGAATTGCTGAATTGTCTGTGAGTGGTGCTGTGTGTTTACAGAAACAGTGGAACATCGTGTGCAGCTGATGGAACCATATTTTGAGAATTTTCCTCTGCACATGGTTAAGAAGCTGCTGATAGCTTATTTTTTTAAAAGACACATTTACCAGAGTAAGAATTAATCTGGGGGCACAGGGAACTGCTGTAGAGCAAGATGTGGTAGTGGGGAAGGGATTAAAAAATGTGGCATAATTACTTTTCATATACATGCATCCAAGATGGAATCTGTAGTTATGTTGGTTTGGGTTTTTCTTAATTCTTCCTGCCCTCTCTGTTTTTCCTTCCAGGGACAGTAGGGGAAAGAAAACAAAACAAAGTAAACTTCTAGTAGCAATTTTTGATGATCTGTTTCTGCTCCTGTTAGCTTTTGGGCAAGTTTAAGTAGTGAATTATGTATATAAAATAGTAATATATCTTTGTGTGTATTCTATTGAAACTGAGCGCAATGTTAGTTTCCTTAAGCAGTCTCTGTTCTGTTACAGCACTTCTTAATCTCACCCACAGAGAGAAGTTTTTACTTAAAACGCTGAAGATTCCGTAAATTGAAATGAAATTGTGAGATTTTTCTTTTATTCCTTACTAGTGTTTATTAAAGGATGAGGTGATTTGGTGTTGGGGTAACTTAGTTGATGAGATTATGGGGTCTGTATTCTGAAAATATAGTTGACATCTACACAAATATCATTAGTTTGTTCTCATTAGAAAAACAGAACCCTTATGATGACGTGTCATGAAAGTTACAGAAGTTTGCAAATACACTTTTTCCTGTAATTGTTTTCTGCGTCTTGCCTCCTGTTGAACTGTATTGTGTTTTTTCTGTATCAATGTCTAAATCTCTCAAATATATTTGAGAGTTTTCTCAAAGTAATATTATTTTATTCATTTTTCCTATAATAAATATCAGTTCTACTTGTCATACTTGGTGTTCATGGACTTGATAACTGCTCAGATGTCAGGACTTCATTTGAGTTGTGGCACTAAGGTTAATGTTGTACCATACCAGCAGTAAAATAGTTGGTTTTAGTACTGCGGTTAGTTTTAGAAATGTTTATGCACCCACTTTTGTAAAGCTATAATACTAATTAAAGCTGTAATACTGATTGATCTTTTTCTCCAACACACACCCCTAATAGCTTGGACACAGGTTGCATAACACCTTATTTTTCCACTCAGCCTTCTAGTCTTGTTGTAATAAAGATTTCAGTCTTGTTTTTCTGTAGCACATTTGTGATCTGCAGCTTCTCTTCACTTTGCTGGCTTGTCCTGTTCTCAGGAAACAAAAACCCCACATTGTAAATATAATTTTTTTTTTTTTTGTCCCAGCTTGGACAAAATCAAGTATTTATACTTGATTAGTTAAAATGTACTCTCTCTCCATTATTTAATCAGACATTTGTCAAAAGAAAAGAACTGCTGCAGGTTGTTTTTTAAATTTTATGTGGTGTTTAATGTATTCTTAGCAAATTAAATTGGCAGCTATCATAGCATCTATCTAACATTTACTGTGTGAGGTGCAAGTCACTGGTGACATGACAGCACTTTAGGGTATCGTCATTTTCATCTTAATCTGATCCAGTGCCAGTGTAATTGGTGTTTTGAAACTGTGCAGTGCTCCATTGCTAAAGTGACAGGAAGCTAGTCCAGAACCCAAATCTGAGAGCTTAGAGTGACAGCCTTAGCTGTCCCACACCTGGAGCAAATTGTTTCACAGCCTTGATCTGAGGTAGTACTTGGCATGTGTCATAAAGTACACAAAAAAAATTAAGATGAGGTTGGGCAAAGAACTGTTGCTTGTTTTCACATAAAAGCCTAATTGCTTTTATTTCTTCCTCTTTAATGAAGTGTTTTTCTGAGAAGGGTAGAGATTCAGAAGCAACTTGAATGTGACAGCAAACTGAAATTTCTCTGCAGGAGATGCTGAAATGGCACAGCTTCTATTTTGGTTATACCAGGCCTTATTTGCTGCTTATAGATGTAAACACTATTTTAGACGTAGTTACAGCCTCAGTAGTCGTTCCAGTGATCCACACTGGGATTATAAATTGAGATGAGTACTGATTTAATCCACTAAAGTCTGTGGGGTGTAAAGTGATTTTTAAAATATACATTGGTTACATATAAACAGTGACTTTTAAAATATGCATGGTTTCTGCCATAGTCCCAAATTAAGAGTAGTACTTTCCTGCAATGTGTATTTTAGTCCCAGCATAGCTCATGGACTCATGACAGTGCTAACATTGAGCTGTTGAGGCAGATCTAGCTCGCTAATCAGGTGTTTTAGGAGATGAGAGAAGAAAATAATGATTTGGCTTGAGCTATCAATTTTTTGGCTTTCCTTGTTTGCTAGGAAAGAAGAAAGAATCTTGGAGATCTAGTATGAAACAGACTGTCATTGTTGCTGTTCTTGATGGCAGCATATGTCAGCCCATATAAGTATGGTCTCAAATATGCCAGTCTGTGTTTTCTGCTTTCTCCTGCTGCTTTGTAGCATCTCTGAATCATCTTTATCTAAACATGAGTTAGAAGTCTTCTTTGTGCTCTAAAATCCAGTTCAGATCTCTTAATCTCTATCTCTGAACTAATCTTTAATAATTAATTATGTCTTGGTGTTGGATTTTCTGGAAATATCAGGTTTTAGCAAATTTTGAAGCCGTGTTTGAGATCACATCTTAAAAAGGTTGTGTGTGTGTGTAATAAGTATTGTGCCAGTGTTGCCAGTGGAGAGTTTGGGAGGCTTATTCCAAGGAAGCCTGAGGTAAGTATTGTAATGGAAGCTTAAGTCGGGAGGTTTTTTTGTCATCTGCAGTATTTATATTTATTCTGCTTGTCATGTGATACACTGTTTAATCCTAAACCTGATGCAGTTAAAAAGCAAAGGATAAATACTTAATTTGTAAAACTGTATAAGAAATACATTTGCTGTTATATCTACTTTAGCAATATGTTTTCTTTAAAACATTCAAGACAGATTGGGACATACAGACCTAATCTGTGTCTGTTCATATCTCAGTGTGAAGAAAATGTTGAATCACTTATCTTAATTGTTTAATTGGAGATTTCTGGGGAAGTACAAGGGATTTGATATGTAAGAATCATCTAGTTAAATCTTTGGAAAGAGAGGCTCCTGAATCTTTAATATATGTGGGTTAGGAATAACAAGTACTTGACACTCAGCTATATATTTCCTTACTTTTGGCTGAAATTTCCCTTCCTTTGTCCTCAAGGCAAATCTAGTTCTGCTTGTTTCAAACTTGGGGGTGGAAGGTGCAGAATGAGAGCATGATTTTCAGTTTTCAGAAATGTCTTGTTATTTGTATATTCCTGTCTGCCTTTGTGACCAAGAACATAAATAAAATCTTTTTTAGTTTATTTTCATATCGTTATTATCGTGTTGAAGAGCTAGGGAGAGCATTTATTAAGAACTAATTATGTTTGTGCGGTTTTTTAATTGCAGGAGGCAGAGTTACCATCAGAACTGAATAATGAAGGATACTGTGATTTTAACAGCAGGCCAAATGAGAACTCGTACTGCTATCAGCTCCTGCAAGAGCTCAATGAGCAGAGGAAGAAAGGCATTCTTTGTGATGTTAATATTGTGGTGAGTGGGAGGGTCTTCAGAGCTCACAAGAACATCCTGGTTGCAGGCAGCCGCTTCTTTAAGACTCTGTATTGCTTTACAAACAAAGAAAGCCGTAACCAAACCACTGTTACCTATTTAGATGTTGTTGCTGTTCAAGGTTTTTCTGTCATCTTGGACTTCTTGTATTCTGGTAACCTCGTGCTTACGAGCCAAAACGCCATTGAAGTGATGTCGGTGGCCAGCTACCTTCAGATGACCGAGGTTGTCCAGTCCTGCCGCAACTTCATTAAAGATGCCTTAAACATAAGTATAAAATCGGAAGCTCCAGAGACTGTTGTAGTGGATTACAACAGAAGATCTGTTAGTAGGGATGGTTTATCTCCTAGGGATCAAAAAGTTGCCAGCTTCTGGGCAACACGAAACCTTACCAACTTGGCAAGTAGCATAAAAACTGAGAATGATCCCTACCCTATTGATGACGGCCAAATGGAAAGCTACCAAATGAATGACTGCAGTTGGGTCCAGGACAGCTCACCTGAAATGGCTGAAAATGAATCTCAAGGTGAGGGAAAAGTTTTTGTGTGGAATGACATGAGTGCACAGGGACAATCAGTTCAAGAACCTGGAAAAGCAAGAAGGAAAAACCAAACTGCAAAGAGATTTATTTATAATATACCACCTAATACTGAAGAGAACTCTGAAGATTGCTCAGTGTTGCAACCGTCAGTCCCATATCCAGAAGAAGATTTGTCATTTATTAAAGAAGAAGCAGGTAAATATTGCTTATTGTCAATTATGTAATTTGAAAATTAAACTATTGACTGCAGTACCTGACTACGTAATGTTTGGTTTCTTATTTTTTAAATTATTATGCTGTATGAATAGTTAATGTATGCATTTGAAGTACTGTCATTTGCCTGCCTCACTTTTTGATGAATTAATAGTTTTGAAAACTTACTGCAATTTAGGAGCCAAGTTAGGGGTGGATTTGAGACACAGCTGGAACAAAGTTCTTTAGATGTGTCTTGTTTCTGAAGCAGTTTAAAATGCATGCCTGCTTTAAACATCAGTGAACTGTGGATGTTTCCTCCAGGGGCTCTGCTCTGCTCCTGCCCACGGGGGTGGGGGACACAGACGAGCCGTAGTCCCACAGGGGGCACGTGGGGACCCAGCAGTGCCTGGGCACAGCGGTGACATGTGCCGGTGCAGAGCACTGCGGGCTGGAACTGGGGATGTTTCTCCAGTACAAGAGACTTTCATGTTCTTAGTGAGTAGTGTGACGCAAAAGAGCAGCTCTGTAGAAGCAGCTGTGCTGAGAAGCACTTCTGCAAATGCTTGTTACTTATCTCTGGTCTTCATCTCTGAACTCTGGGTATGTCTGCTTTACTCGGGAGTTGTGCTTGTGAAGTGAATTTCCTCTACTTTTCATACTGGCAAAGCTTTGTTAGACTGCACAGGATTCCTTCTGGCTGAGCTGAGGATAGAAGCTGTGTTTCAGGAATATGACAGTCGCTAATATGCCTCATGTCCACAGAATCAGGTTAGATGTAGCCTAAGTGAAGCACCTTTAGCTGCAGATAGTGGGGGATGTTGAGTCCTCAGCACCCACACAATAATTCTGCCTGTTCTGGGCTACACTACTTGCTCTAGTTGCAGTGCCACGAAAAAAGACCACAGAGGGACTGGAGCAAGAGCTGAGGATGTGTGTATTAGCTGCACAAATACAAAATTTCTGACAGAATTTAGCATGTGATTTCTATTGATAGGTGGTAAATATTTAGTGTATTTTACTGATGGAAATACAGAGAATATGCCTACTGTGTGATGGCACCAGCAACAGATACAAATAATTGTTTGGGTTCTGTGGAATCTTGTATGTGTGCTGTGAAGATTTCTTGGAGAAATAAATGGAGGGCATGGGCAGTGCAGTATGTTTAGTCCTTGGGGGTTTTTTTTGTTGTTTTGTTTGTGGGTTTTTGTTTGTTTTGGTGTTGTTGTTGTGTGGGTTTTGTTTTTTTTTTTTAACAGAAGCACCAATGTTTCCAGTAACTTGTTATGCTAAAGAATTAAATCACAAAATACATCCTTGTAGCATTGTGCGGAAAAAAACTGTATTGGAGACAGAGCATACTGTATATATGTGTTGTGATATCTGTCCAAAACCATTGAAAAGTTCTGTGACTGCAGGGGGAATTTTATTTTAGAGAGTTCTAAAATACTCATCAACCAGTGATCTCTTTGGTATTTTCACAGCACACCATATATGTTCCAAAGTACCTAGTTACATAGTCTGTCAGTATCAGAATTCTTTTGGAAGCCATATCTAATATTTTTGTAATGATATCTTCGCTTTTACTAAGTTCTTGAATACATATTGCTTGAAACAAGAAGAGTGACTGAAGTCGGGCTTCGTTTAGCTTACTTTTCACCCATAGTCCATTCTTCAGCATTTATATTCTTTCTCTTCTGCTTGTGGCTCTTTTTCTTTGCTTTGCAGGTAGATTCCACTCTTAAATACTCTTCTTTTAACTGCTCCCTCTGTGCCAAAGAGGAGGTGGAAGAGGGAGGAGTGGAGAGTTGGAAGAATGTCAGGAATGAGTTGTAGAGTAACCTGCAGGTTATACAATAACTTTTTAGTTTTAGATTAAATTTCTTGTGGGGATGAAAAACTACCAAAAATAATAGGTACTGAGAGGCAAAAATCCATACAGAAATGTCATCTGGAATAGATATGACAATTCTATAAGAAGAAAAATAAAGAATAGTAAATTCTTATGTTCAGAGCTAAGGAGCGTGCTCTCCCGTTGGTTGCTAAAACAGAAACGAGCTTCTACTATTATGCTTTGTCATGTTCTGATGGGGATAACACCAGTGATTATGAACTGTCAGTTACATGCAGGGTGAGTTTCTGTGCCCTTGATTTAGGTTTGAGTTGGTCTGGTGCTTTTGTGATGATACCGTAGATAGGGTGGAAGAGAAGCCTACTACTTAAGATCACTCCTCTCACTACAAAAATTTATCCCTGAAGCCACTTTCTTGAATTCAATAGTAAATGAATTTTCCGGTTGGGTACAGTTGGTAAGTATTAGATAATAAACAGTAAAAGCTTTCTGAAGCTTCTGCTACCCCTCTTGTTCCAGTGAAGCAAATATGTTAAACTGCTCCTTGCTGAACAGGAGTTTTTCTACTCGTATCCACTAAGGATATGTCAGCTACTTTTTCCTCTCACCCTGTGTTGCTGATGCCTTGTGAAGGCTGACCTGGAATAGAGGCTAGATGGAGTTAAAGAATAAAGTAGGTATTTATTAAAAAGCCTCATTGGATGCACCTTGGGCAATACAAAAGCCCAGCCAGTGCTACACCCACGATGAATCCAAAATGGACAACCAGCCATAGGGTCTCACACTTTTATAAGTTCTGGTCCATTAGCATATTGGAGTTAATTGTCCAGTTATAGCTTTAGCTTAGGAAGTCCCATCCTTCTTGTTTTTCTCTATTCGGTCTACCATTGTTTATGCTCTTGGGCCCGAAACTTGGATCATTTGTCCTTGGCCCCAGATAGAGAAGGAATTGTTTTGTCTACCTACTCTGATGAGAGCTTACTATCCCCTAATATGAAGCTCAGAACTACACAGTAAAGCAGTACAGAGTCTGAAAAATATAAAAGCTAAAACCTGAGGCACCATTGCCAGTGAGTTTGTTTAACACCTTCTCTGTAAAAGTAGCATGTTGGTGAGCTTTAAAGAAGTTTTTAAAAAGTTAAGATGGGTTTGAAATTCCTTGAACTGCCTTACATTTACTTATATTTTACTTAAGTTTTCAAGACTTCTAAAGTAGTTGTTTAATTAAAACATGGAATGTTACCACCTTATCAGTATTTTCTCTTAGTTGATAATCTGCTAAAAAAGTCTCTTACTGTTTACAGCCATCATTCATCCTACAATTAACCATTTACCATAGTGAAAATAACCATGCAGACAGCCCATTACAGTCAATTTTACAGAGTGTTACAAAAGGTCATAAAAGCTCAGTGAACATAATTCATCAAATGCTTAATGTCTGTTCACGGGGTAATTTTGTCAATTTTCATCACTTCTTGGGTGTGTCTTTCATCTGGGCATGGCGGTTTTGTTTTTTTCATAAAGTGTCCTATCCTCAGACTTCAGAACACAGCTGTGAAGTATTGCTCGTGCTTTCTGGAACTGACTGTTGATTTTTAGGAGACTTGCATGCAATATCCGAGTAGCTTTATGAAGCCACAAGTGTATAATTTCTTACTGTTATTTTCTGGCTAGATAATGCTGTACTCTGGTGGAGGTGAGGGAAAGGATAACAAGTGCAGGATTAAAACAGTCCTTGGTGGAACGAGAGGGTTCCTAACTGATTTTGTAGGGGTTCTTAGGGAATGTAATTCAGCTTGCTGTAGAAACAACTTCTTTTCAGAAGGATACAAACAGCAGGTAAACCTGTATAGAAAAAGTGTAGTGCTGGTCCCAGCTTTTGTCATGATGTAAGGGAGGAGCATAACACGACCTGATTAGGACTTTACAATAAAGCAGGCATCTTTGTATTTGAAGAAATCAAGATTGATGGACTTATCAGGACGTGTATATTTCTTGTAGGGGTAAACCCCACTTGACTGACTGTGTTACAAAAGAAAAAAGAATTGTATATTTTTTCTACTTTTCCATGGTACTATAACTCTGTCATATTTTCTTTAGACCTTAAGCTGATACCCTGATTAAAAGATTTAAGTTCCTTAAGAGACCTTTAACCACTTTATTTGCCCCATTCCCTGTGTAATCCACAATTGAAGGTGTCAAAGGTTTTAGAAGTCATCTGAAAACACTGCAATATCTGAGGGTCACCCTCTTCCCCTTTCATTCAATTTCCCTCTCCCAGGGTTCATCTCAAAAACAAGCATGTTCTCTCAGACCATTCTCACGGTATGGTCTATCCCTGAGCCTACAACTCCAGGCAATGTTTTGTGTATTACTGTTGTCAATATGCTGCTTTTTTTTTTTTTTTTTTTTTTTGTGTGTGTGTGTGAATGGATTGGGGAAGAAGGTTTTGTGGTGTCTACATGTCTACAGACCTTCTCTGCCTGAAAATCCCTTTGAGTCCCAGTGTAATGCATTAAATTACTAAAAAGGGTCCATGAGAACAGTTAACTTCGTCACAAATAAATGGTCTGCATGAGGAAAGTTCTTTACTTTCTTGTGTTTCACTGGTATAGTTGTTGGAGGAGATCAGCAAAATAGCTTTCACTTTCTTGGAAAGGAATTTTTCAGGGAAGGTACAATAATCAAGTTGAAAAGCAAGTGCATAATATATATGGCATCAGTTAGTGGTCTTCTGTCAGGGCTAGATTATGCTAGACGTGACTCTGTAGTCACGGCGATATACCACCTTTTCATGAATGAAAAATAGTAAAAATTGAGAGCAATTTGGAGCAATAGATAGAGTATGAGTAAGATTGCGTTGGCAAAATGTCTTGCATATGTCTGAGCCCTCTGTTGCAAGAGGCAGTTGAGCAGTAATGTGCTTCCAGAATAAACCTTTTCAGAAGAAGCAAGGTTGAATATGTGAGGAATACTCTGGGAACAAAGGGAGCTCAAAATACTTTCTTTTCCCCACCTTCTTAGTATGTCAGTCTTGATAGTGCTGTTTCCTCTGTCGTGTTACCTAACATAAGCAACAATTCCAGCTCTCTTTAATAGCAATCCAGGTTGTATCAGTAGATTACCACTGCTTTCTTTGCAAACCTTGAAAGTTATGGGCTAATTGCTTATCCTGCCTACTTTGTCTTTTTTAATTGATTAGATGAGCAGTCAATGTCAAAAAATATAGTGAAAATAGTATTTATTTTGCTATTATTTTGGCACTGTTTGCAGTGCTAATATATATAAAGAAAACAGAAGTTAAGTTCACTACAAACAGCTGTATCTAATGCAAAGTTTTGTATCTTTTCCCTCAGTGCACCATATGTGTGTCCTTTTCTATAATGCCCTGTTCAATGGCTTCTGTCAGTGAACTCATTATTTCCCATATTATCACCTACTGAGTAATGTATCCTTTTCTGGCCCCCAAGTCAATATATTTTCTGCTATAAATCAGATTGTCAAACTAAGGATGCTTCTGGCTTAGACATGTTTTCTCTTCCTGATGAGAATGTCTACCTCTTGCCTTCAAAACTGAAAATCATTGTATCTGGCTTCTGGTTATCCTCTTTCCTGAAAACAAATGCAGTAGAACATAAAATCCTTTCACAATGTTTTTGATAGCTTTTCTTAGTGGTGTAAAAGCCACACAACTACTTTATTTTATTTCACACTGTCCTTACCTCTTCTCAAATCAACATAGTGTGAATTTTAGTGCTGATGATTAATCAGCTTCTTTGTATTCTATTTTATTTTTTATTATTTTGACTTTGCTTATTGTTGACTTTAATAAAAGATCACATTACTGATAGCCTTTTACCATGCAGCCTAGAAGAATGGGTAAATGTTTGAGGTTAATTGACATTTGGATTGTTAACTTATACATATTAGCAATCACCTGAAGTGTAGAAAGGTAACCTAAGATCAGAGAAAAGTGGTGATCAGGTGGTTTAGTCTGGAGACACAGAATATTATTGCTTATAATTAGCTTTTTTTTTTTTTTTTTCAAATATCTGCTGTAACTGTCTATACTTTCCCCCTTTGCACCCTATCCCCAGTATACCAGTATCACTGCACCCATAGTTGCTTCCAGCCTCCTATCAAGAGGCTATCATCTGGCTTTAAATTGACCAGAACAGGTCAGATGATAATTATGTCTAGTTTTGCAGCAGGTTTCAGGGGGCAGTAGCCTGGATAAGAGGAGAAATGGGAGAAGATATTATGAGGCACAGGGGTCTGTAAATAAGTTGCATTGTAGAAGCTTACCTGACTGTAGGCTCTATATCCAGCTGGGGAATGTAGTAAAGGCTGGGTATGGTACTTCCAGCTTCCAGTCTGTGTGTAATTCAAGTCTGTCTTGTTTGAATGAGCAATTAGACACTAAATATGCCTTTTGCATTGTTTTGGTTTGAACACATTAAATGTGTGCTTAATCAGGTTTTCTAGGTCAACAAATTATTCCAAGAATAAGCATTAGGTTTAATTATTATCTACTTAGTCATGTATACTCAAGCATGAAGCGTGTGTAGCAAACTCTTAGCTCTTGTGGTATCTGTGTTGGTGTTCTTTCATGTTATAGTGGGTCTTCTCTTTCAGCTGGAGGTTGAAAGATTTAGTAGCTACTACCTACACTAGATGACAGCTCTTAAATTTATTTGTCTCTATGCTGAGTCTTGTGATAAGATCTCGAATTATGCAGGGGTTTGAGCTCCTAAGTTCCCACAAACTTAAATACCAGATGTGTACATAAATGTTCCTAGTGGCATTTAATTTGTGTTCTCTTAAATACAGAAGAATTGTCAAAATGACGGTGTTATAAAACATGTTCAGCTTGGTCCACCTCTTACCTATGGTCAGTCTTTGGTGTATGCTTATTCTAAAAGAAGCTATACAATAGTGCCTGTACACAGCAGAACGTCACAGCTGTGTGCAGTAAGGACTTGGGTCTGTTGATCTTACAGATATTCATCCTGTAAGGGAGAGAAAAGCAATTAAAATATTTTATCACTGACTGACCTTTCACTGTTCAGCTACAATTCTAGTACAGGGAGAGAAATCTATAAAGAAAGGATCTAATACTTTAAATGTTGTAAAAGTAAGTTTGGTTTTTTTCCCCTCTGCTAGATCCTGAAACCTGCTGTAATTTGGAGGCTTTTAACCTTAAGATCACGTCATCTTTGCTCTTACCCAGCTTCCTCTCTAATCCTTTCTAGTGTATTATAGAAGGAAGTCTTCCTTCTCACCTCAAAGGAATGTGTAGTTGGCATGTCTATAGGGTATCTGTGTTCTCTTCCTTGAGTTGTTGAGATGCCATTGCTGGAGTCCATCATTCCAAATTAGTATAAGGAGTTCTTGCCTCTTTTGGACATAGAGAAGTTATGTCAGTAATTTAAAGCTAGAGTCAGTAATTTTTAAAAAAATCCTCACTCTTTGTGTTTTTAAGGGAGAGGAAGTTTTATTCCCTTCCCTTTTCTTCCTTTTATAGCAAAATAGGTAGTTAGATGAGCTAAAATACTGCTATTTCTCATCTTCATACACTCAAGCTCTGCTTTTTAAAAGCTCTGGTGGAATGCCTAGTTTGGCAGTTATGATCCAGCTTTTCTATCTTATCCATTAGACAATGGCAAACAACAAGAATTATAAGCTTCCTACTTGTTAAGTGATATCCTTTTGAACTGTTGTTTTATGGTGCAGACCAAATCACTGCTGCCAGTGGTAATGCTGCCTGAGCAGTAAATGAAACTGCTGTGTCTCATGCTGTGAGGATTTGTAATCTGTACCTTTTTCCAGTAAAACTGCAAGTTGGAAGTGTTTAAATGTGTGGCTTGCCACTAGCTGCATGAAATTCTGGTTTAGCCTGAGAGAATTTCCTTTCCCAAAAAATCCTTAGAATGAACAGTGTAGGGATAAAAAGAAGTCTTTGGACTATTAAGATGCATAGTTTCAGGGTTGTAAGCAAGAATTCATCTCCTCAAGACTTTTCACAGTGGCGACATTGGGAATCCAGTGTGAGGACCCAACTACCATCCAGAGAAATAAAAGGAAATCTGCCAGTTACCACTGCAGTTTGTTTATTTAACAACTGCTTGCCTGTGAGGAAAGTAATGGATTTATGAGTTCATGATTTCCAACAAACTCCTGTCTTGGGGACTGGGGAGAACATTGATTTGTACTATTGCCAGAAGAGTTTTTGCCCAACAAATATGATTTTGTCAAATTCTTAGTGCAGCTTTGTGTACTATTTATAGTTCTTTGTGCTCTGTGTGACTCCATGTTCACTGATGCTGTTCTTGTTATGAAGTATAGAATTAAACAAGCACAGATCTTTGTAAGGCATTGTTCACTTCTGAATGGTTTTATTCTTTTAAAGAGGAAAAAAAGGATACAAAGACAACATATACTGCAGAAGATCTTAAGAGCAAATGTAAATACGCAAACTAGTATTTTAAGCTGTTATATTCCAAGTAATTATGGTCTCTTGAATTGATGTGGTTATAGAGTAATGGACATGATTATTCAGAAAAGGATTTAGACATAGCTGTAGGATTCTTTATGTAAATAAAGGTATTTAAAGCACTACATATGTATACCATGAAGTTATTTTAAAGCAATAAAAAAACCAACCATGCATCTAGTATAAAATACTTACTTCTGTACCAGCTAGACTACTATGGCAGTCCAGGTGAAGACACTGCACAAAGCAGTTCTGAAGAGAAAGGTTTTCTGATGGAAAAACTTTCAGCCCCTTCATGATGATGGTGAGGGAATACATATCCTTACCATCAAAGTCCCTGTAGTATGAAAAAGACTTTCAATTTTTTCTCAGGATGGGGAGAAGAAATGGTGCTGTGGAGAGTAGGTCAATGGTCTCATTTCATTGAAATTAGGAATACAGTTATTTCTTGTTTTAGTGTTGAATGCTATGTGAAAACATGCTACAATTACTATTTTAAGGTTAGAGACTTTTTTGTCACAGTTTTAAAGGATATATATTGCTAAACAGATTAGATTGATAACTGATTAGAACCCAGGAAGCTAAAGAAAGAATGTGTCTTTAATAGCTACTTCAAGTGACTTCAAGTATGGACTGTTGCCGGGTACTTCAAATGACTTCAAGTACGGATTGCTGCCGGGTACTTCAAGTGACTTCAAGTATGGGCTGCTACCGGGTACTTCAAGTGATTTCAAGTATGGATTGCTGCCAGAGTCTTGGCCAAAAGAAGCTTGGGAAAATGGTAAGTGTATCTGATGGAGAGTAGGTAGAGGGTTAGGAGATTATTTAATCAGTCTTCTTCCATATCATTTGCCTTTCTGAATAATGTACTTCCTTGGAGGGAGGAAAAGGAATTCAAATGTATGGAAGAGTCAAAACACAATGTGATTTTTATCAGTTCTAGTATTGTGACTGAGTGTGTAGGTACCTGAGGTCTTTAATAACCTGATAGCTGCCTGTCCCTTTACTAAGTAAATACAGATAAATGGCCTTTGAAATTGTAAAGTAGGATGGTTAAGATATGGGAATAAATATAATTTTAAAAGGAGATCTCAGCATATGCCTTGCTATTCTTGCTATTAAAAATAAAAAACATCATTGCAATAAATGTCAGTTCAAGCAAGAATGGAGACAGAGCATCTCTCCTGTCAGTTCAAGCAAGCAATTATCTGTAATTATTTTTCTGTCTGAAAACATACTGAAAGCACCACCATATCTAAACTAATTGTTGCTAGTTCCTTACAATACATAAAGTCTTCAGTAAAAAGAAGATATAAAGTACTGGGTAATAATAATGCTTACCTCTTCTCTTTAACTGAGCTGTTACTGCGATGTGGCTTATGGTTTATTTTAAATATTTTGCGGTTTACAGTAGAAGAAATGTGGTCATCAGAAGGTGAAATTTGCTGGCAGTCAAGAAATTAGAAGCTGGGTCTGAGGAAGTCTGCCTGTTCTTAAACCATTAAATTCCCATATATCTTACATCCCTGATATCTGCCTGTATAGGATTTACTTTTCTTCATGCAAGCCATTATGTGGTGTTATGTGGACATGCAGCTCACATGAGTGCTCCAATATGCAAGCTTGCGAATATTAGCAAAATGTGACTTCCATGTTTGGATGGATTTAGAAGCTCAAAGGAGGCAATTCTAGATGTAGGCCTATGAGCATGTGCACATAATGCACAATTACTTATGCTTTCTTCCTGCCAGCGTGAACATTAGAAACTCTTGCATGTAATCATACGTAGCCTTAGCCAGTGCTTTTTGGATGCTTCTAGATGGTTATGTTCATAAGTTCTCACTTGTAGTAAGTTGAGTCAGTATGCTATTATAAAAATCATCCTTGTATTCCTATGTGGCCTTCTCCACGTCATAGAATCCCGTGTTCTTTTTCACACAGTAATAGGCAGCTGTATTAAACCTGTTTTGCATATATCCTTTGAGCAAACTATGTGGAGTTCTCCTGCATTGTAAGGAAGAAGTGAGATATTGCTCCTTCCAGAAGTTTTTTCTGCTCTTTTTATTTCTTCTGCTGTTAGATCAAAGTAGAAAACAGGGAAAAATTGAACCAATTCCTTTTTGAGAATTTCAGAATTTTGCTACCTCTAAGTGTCTTACTTCTCTTCAATATTCATTCTTACTTACACTTTTTTTAAATCAGGTCTTCGTAGACAGTTCCTGCATGTAATTCTAAATAGAATATTGGAAGAGAAGATTGTGACTGTCTAAATGCTGCAGAGTTAGAGGGTTTCTAAACCAGAAGAAGATGTTTTCTGGTATAACTGACATCTAGGTATATTGGTAAATTGTAGTTAACTTACTTCAATTAATGAAATAAGACTTCTGTGGTAAAAATGCCTTGGTTACCTTTTTTTTAGTAGAATTGTATATGCAGAACTTGGCAGCATTTTTGATTTCTGCAGACAGGCATTGTCCTGATTTCACTGATGAAAAGTCATGTGCTTTGCTTTATTGTTTTGGCACCTGTTTATTTTTGTGCACTAGACAGAACATATTTAAATTATTTATTGTGTGTTTTATCATATTTTCTCCTGATGGCTTCTTATCTTTTAGGTGATTCCTCTGCTTTAATCATGAACAAGTTGAAGTGTCCACACTGTAATTATGTAGCCAAATACAGAAGAACACTAAAGAGACACTTGCTCATTCACACAGGCGTGAGATCTTTCAGTTGTGACATCTGTGGGAAGCTGTTTACACGAAGAGAGCATGTAAAGAGACATTCCTTGGTAGGTAATCTCAAGTGTTCATGTATATGTATGCACACATACGAGTGGTGTTTTGGTAGTTGGAACAAACTTTTCTGGTTTGACATAATGTAGATTGTCTTATCTTGATCTGAAATGGATGAAGATAAACATTTCTTATAATAACTGTGCCTCTTGTTTTCTTTATGGAAAATGCACTGTCAATGAAGACAGTAATTTCAAAATTATTTTGAAAGGGATGTGATAAAGGGATGCAGTGTATATAACTATTCTGTAGATAATGAAAAGCAGTTTTGGCTTAGCTTTACTGCAGTAGAACAGCACATATTGGTTTACAATGCTGTGTCACCATTTTCTGTGAAGGCACCCTGTTAATTCAGCAATTGCACAATATCTTGAGGTAGTTCTAAAATGTTTATTTCACAACTAGACAAAGCTATAGTATAGTATCTGCTTTAAGATTAGGAAAGAATGAAAAATATCTGGTGCAGAAAGTAAACATTTGTCTGACTTGCATTCTGCCAGTACCATAACCAGCAGTTCAGCTTACCCTGTCCTGTGCACATTGCATAATTCAGGATTTGACTTGAGTACTTGTTTATCTGTGGATCTAGAGGACGTTTTATCTGTCTTGGATATTTTGTAGGTACTTTGTATCTAGTCTATAAGGAAATTAAGACTTCATTATAATATATCCTATATAAAATCCAAGGTGTATTTGTGCAGTAATAAAAGCAAGATCATGTTGGTGGTGAGAAAATAATATTTCTCCAAGCTGTGATTTTAAAAGTTCCCCTAATTTTGCAAGATGTTTTGTAGATATATAGAAAAGCTTAGTTAGCACATGGAGTGGGGTAAATTGCACTTCTCCAAAGTGCTACAGCTGGGTTGGGGCAACTCTCAGTATCTATAGGGCCTGTTGGATGAGCATGTTATGTTGAGAGCAGCCCTGCCAGGAAGGATTGGAGGTGCTGGTGGGTGAGAGGTGGGACATGAAAGTGTGCTCTTTCATCCCAGACAGCCAAATGTATTCTGGGCTGCATCAAAAGCAGCATGGCCAGCAGGGTGAGGAAGGGCATTCTGCCCCTCGTGAGACCCCACCTGGAGCACTGCATCCAGCTCTGGCATCCCCAAAACAGGAGGGACATGGAACTGTTGGAGCTGCTCCGCGGGAGGTCTATGAAAATGGTTGGAGGGATGGAGCATCTCTCATATGCAGAAAGGCTAAGAGAATTTGGGCATTATTGCCTCATTGATGGACATGCTCCTTCCTTCGTGGCTTACCAGAGAAGACAGCAGCAGTGGGAGTTAGGTGGTCTACCAGGAAGAGTAGAGGAACTTCAGTTTTCTGTTTTTTTCTGTATTTTCAGTTTTCTGTATTGTCTGACCAGGACTTGTAGCTGAAGAATTTGAAGTCAGACAATGTGAAAACAGCTGTGGAGTGAACTCAGTGCAGTTCTGCGCTTTAACTGAAGTGTTCTGGCTCTGATGAAGTCAGAACACTTTTTCTTGTTTCTGGGTTTTTTTTCCCTCCTCCCTTCCCCTTTCAGTTCAACAAACCTCAAACATTCTGCCTTGCATTGAAGTATTATAACGAGTCTAGAGGCTGAGGAAAGCACATGTATCAGCTGTACCGACTATCCAGCAGAGCCAAAGTAACTATTTGTATCATGACCTAATTTATTTATCCCCTCACCTGGGTGGTAATTTCTCTTTTATCTAAAATTGCAACTTTTTCAGTGGGACTTCAAATGAGATATTTAAGCACATAATTGTAATCTGTTGTGGGAACACCAGATGGAAGAAGGAAGTCCTCAACGTAATTTTTTCATAGATAATAACTAATATATATGATTGCTGAACTCAGTTACTTGTACAAGCAACATACTTCCAAATTCAAAATCAAACTTTATGGTTAGTCAACAGCAGCCTTCCAATTTTACACACACACTCAAATACAGGACAGAAAAATTACCTGAGGGACCTGGAAAGTTGATGTTGGTTTTAATTATGTTGAGAGGGAGAAGTCGTGGAAGAATTTTGCTCTTTGAATTATTGAATGTAATAACTCCTGCTTTTTCTTAATATTTCTAGAATTTAAAATTGTTAAATTGTTTAGAAAATTGCTTTTATCTTGTGTGCAGTAGAAGGGTTTGTGCTGCTCTCATTGCTTCTGAGTCTTGTTCTGTACCCTGAGGAGATGTGAACTGAATGCTCACCTGTGTAAAGAACAGGCGACCTGCTGAGCTCCAACAAAGTGGTTTGTTTGTGGGCAGTAGTTCATATCTGTTGAGGAATACATAAATACATCTCCAGTACTCCTTCCTTACTCTGAACAGTGTTTGGTATCTTTTGGAGAAGTTAAAAATAGGAATTCTGAGATTAATAATTATTATTGTTTTTATTAATAGTTTTCAGTACTATATGCAAATGTAACCTGATGTGCCTATATTCAGCTGTTAAAATTTCTTTTCCATAGGTGCATAAAAAGGATAAAAAGTATAAGTGTATGGTGTGTAAGAAGATTTTCATGCTAGCAGCCAGCGTTGGAATAAGGCACGGATCGCGACGTTACGGAGTTTGTGTAGACTGTGCAGATAAATCTCAGCCCGCAGGGCAAGAGGGAGCAGACCAGGTGCAGGACACAGATTTCCCTAGAGATGAAGAATACGAAGAAAATGAAGTGGGAGAAGGCGATGAGGAGCTTGGTGATGATGTAGAAGAACAGAATGACCAGTCTCGATGGGATGAAGGCGGGGAAGTTTGTATGCCTTTAGATGACTGACAGAGCATATGACTTCAGGGTGCTGCAGGTGGACACTATGGATTGACTGCTTGAATTTTTGGACTGAAGGCTTGCGAAATATGGTACAGGCTGGATGGTAGTTATGTTGCTGTGAAAATGTAGGGTCAAAGCCTTATAGCAAAAAAAGGATTATTAATTTTTTTATTATATTTGCACAGGACTGTACAGCATACAACCGTTTGGTTGAATTATACAGAGTCCTCACATCTACAGTCAACTATCAAAAGAAAAATGTATTTTTTATTATTTATAGGCTATAGCTACTTGGGTCCTATTCAGACATAGTAGTAACTGTAATTATGTTACACATTCATGTACCTGTTAACATGAATGAAGAAAATTGCAATTTGGTATGGAAATACAAAGAGAGCTTTCCCAAATCCACTTGTACTTTTGTCAGTGAGTCAGTGAAGCTAATTTGGGCTAGTGGCTCATTTTCCACAAGCATGTCTTTGCCATACAAACCTTACCTCTCCTGTAATTTGATAGGTGAAAGCCAGTCTTTTAAATATGTGTCACAGATATTGCCAACAGCGTATTGAAATTTGGGTTGAAACCTTTTGGCTCTGTGCTGGCAGGTGCTATGGGTGATAAGCACTGGAGAAGTTTTTAATGGCATTAATTTAGTGTCTGTTTTTAAAGAAGGTTGTTGTTGATTCATCAATTTTAAAACGATAATGCAGAAGAAATGACCAGTAATGAAAATAATAGACTGATCAGAGCATGGGTAACTCTTGTGCCACTTAGTCAAAAGAGACAGTCATGCTAAAAGGTATCTGATGTAATAATGTTTCTTCTCCCTTCTAAGGCCCCCCTTCTCTCAAAATTTTTTTGTTTCCCTGGTGTATACCTCAGTCCCACAGAATAAAAATACAAGGAATGGAGAAAGTGTCATATTAAAACAACTTTTTGGTCAATAATTTCTTACTTGTCCGTTTTTTGGCTAGTTTATGTGATGTGAATTGGACACTAGGGTATTGTGCCCATCGTTCATCATTGAACACAAACTATTTTTTATTCTTTTGTACTTCATGGGTTGTTGTTAGTATTTAATATAAACAAACTACGTTTAACTTGCTCATTTGCTGGATTTTTTTAAAGAAAAACAAGTCCAAAGCAAAATAATCTCTTTGAGTTGTCTACTTTTCAGGAGGATATGCTCCCTATGCTCTTTGTTTCAGATTTTCTAGGAGGCATTGAAACTTGAATTTTTGTAGCCACGTAGTTCTTTGTTGTTTTTTTTTTTTTGAGGTTTTTTTTGTTTGTTTTGTTTGTTTTTTTTTTTTTCCTAAGCTTGTAATATTGTACCAATGATTTCAGGCCCCTTTCATAGGGAGGGGAGGGCATTACACCTTCACCTTAAATTCCTCTGTGTTGTCTAGCCTAAGGCAAGTTTATTCAGGCAATCATTGGAACAATAAGTCTGATGTACTATTATGTCACAGTGAGTAAATATGCAGAGCATTTGTCATGACACATAGCTAGGCCAGTGTGACAGTACTGTATAAAAAACAATTGAGGGTCACCATATTTTTCAACTTTGTTTCATTTTAAAATGAATATATTTTTTCCTTTTTTATGTCAGGTAACTAAATTATGGTAGTTGTGTGGATAACTTTGAATTATGCTTTGATGGACAAAATCTTACTGGTGCTCCATCTGATCAAAGTCGGTATGTATTTAAAGAGACAAGCTTTACTGTTGTCCATAGAACAGTAATATAATGTTAACACATTGTTTTTGCTGATTGAAACTGAGATGATAAGTTTGAGCTACAGTTATATGGGAATTAAAATGGTTTTTTTCTTTTTTTTTTTATCATCCACTTGTTTCATTGGTAGTTTCCACATCATTGTAAACCTGACATGAATAGTCTTTTGGGGAGGGTGGGGAGGGCGGGGTACCTTTTTTTACACTGAAAATTACATCTTATTCTCATTGTTCTAGACTGAAATGAGTAATGTGTAATTCTGGTGGGGTCCAAAGTAGAAATTAGTTGGGCAAAGATGATATGAATGAAAAAGTATTTTAAACGTTAAAGTAATGTTCTGCTTTGTGAATATGTAAGTATAGCATAAAGATTTTCCATCCCATTTATCCCTTTTAAAACCATAGTTTACAATTGGTAGATCTGTCTATATATATAAATATATATATATATGAAATTCACCTAAATCTGCTTTATTAGAATACTGCTCACTTAATGCTTAGAAACTGGACCTGGCTCTACATTCTTAATGTATTTTCCTTTTTTTTTTCTTCCTTTTGTTTTGTTGGGATTTTTTCCTCAAGGTATGAACTTATTCTCTTGGAACTGAATCTTCTTTTACTTACTTAAATCATTTATGTATATCTGGTAAATTATGACCAAATTTGTTGTTAGACTGCATTACAGTAAATTGAAATATACACTTGGTACACTACAGAATTGTTGTGCTTTTGTTCTGGTTCTGTTTGGAAAAGCAAGCCTTAGTAAACATTTGTGTTATTTATAACTATTCAGTTATTATTCACTGGCCTTAATATTCTGTTGCATTGTGACAATCATAATTTCCTTGGTAAAGCTTAACTGCTTGCTTTTAGAAGTTGCATGTAATTGCCCACAGTAGGCTGGAGAGAGAGGGATGACTGTCTCTAGCAAATGGTGTGGAATACTTCAATGAAGGTCCACTTTTCTTGTCTTGGTGAACCATAAGAATTCAGATGCTATCTCCAGTCTGGCTTTTCTAAATTGTTTTATTTAGCAGTTATTTAAAATATGTTACCTTGATTTGGTATAGTTCTAAATTAATAAAACAAAACTTCTGAAGGATTAGCTCTTGATAGACAGCTCAAGTTTATTCACTGTTATAAGAATTAGAAAGAGATTTCTCTTTGTGCAAGAAATTCTTTCCCTCAAGAAATGCTGAAGTTGTGCTGTAGTAACACAGCAACGGATTTTGTCTTTTTTGAGATTTTTTTCCCACTTTAAAAGAAGACTGATAAATGTCATATTTATCAAATGAAAAGACATTCAGTCTTTCACTTTGTTTTCTGATGAAATAATTCTCAACCCTATGCAATTTGTGTATTTGGAAAATGCCATGCAAGTAGTTTTATGAAGAGAATCATGTTATTAAAACAAACACAGTTTGTCTGATGTTGGGATTCCCCCTTTCACCAAGGGTTTTTGTTTGCTTTCTGCTCTCTTCAAGCAGTAGTCAGTATCTTTCAGAGATAATCATACAGAGCAGTTGCTGGCAGGGCACTGTGATGCAGGACAAAATTTAAATTAGTAAGTAAATTCACTTTAGATTCACAATTAGAAGTTCTGGTCAAAGTAGGTCAAATTATGTAAGGAAGACACACAACATAAAATGTTTGTCTTATGTCAGTGTTACTGTCAGTGCATTAGAAAGCATTTTTCAATTGCAATGACAGATGCATTTTGCAGGAAGAACGGTATTTTCCAATTACTTAGACAAATTTTGTAGTTCAGCTTCCAAACAATCCTCTAGTAATTTTTGCCATGAAACCAGTTTTGAAAGCCAGAAGTTGTATTTCCTTGTCAGTATGCATCCTAAGAAGTATGAGTTGCAATTACTTGTTCCCATAGTATACACCTGGTTTTTGAGATGTGTAGCCTTCTGCAAATGCAGTTTTCAGGTATCACTACATGTGACTTCTCTTTCTTCTGACAAGAATAAGCATTATCAAGTGAAGAAAAGTTGGGGGCCAGGACACTGGCATGAGGTATGCTCCTAGTTGTGGGTCACAGCAGTCACGCTGTTGGCAGAAGATGCTTTCCTTGCCTAGCTTTAAGTTGGTAAGGCTCTTAATAGGATTTGCTTTAATGAGGCCAATCTCGGTTGTTAGCTTGCTTTTAAGTTTTGTTTCACTTGATTTGTCTTGTTCTTGCCAGTAACACAAGTCTCCCACCTGTTCCAAAATACTTTTGTAGTCTGCTGATTCCACATAGATGCAAAATTCACTTTTGAAAGTATGGTACCTTGTTTGCTGTTCCTTTTTTACTTTGTTGTATTTAAATGGCTTTAGAAACTGAAATGAAAGCAAGACAATTGACACCACCACCAGCCCAAAAAACTTGTGCCAAAAAGGAGTAAAATGTGGAGTGCAATGTGATAAGAAAAAGGCTGTTAACAGAGTTTGCATTGTTACAACTCCTCTGGTTTGTTACTTGAATGTTTTGGACAAGTCACTGTACTTTTCTCTAGCACTATTTGGTGACAACCTTCTGATGAAGAAGCTATGCAAGAAGTCCAGTTTTGAGTTTATTCAGTGTCTTCAGAATGTGGTTCAGGCTCTGCAGAGGTAGTGGCACTGAGTATCTTTCTATAGATATTTTACTGTAGATCCTTCTGTTAGCATCCTTCACTGTGTGATCTGTTACCCATTTTTTATTTGATAAACATTTGCTCTTTTGCCTTTTATACATTTTAATGGCACGTTAGTGTGCATTGCTGAACAGTATGGTAAAGGTTAAATATTGACACAATGCATAAAGTGAAATAAGTTGGTTTTCATTTAGTATCTTTTAACAAACCTTTTAACAAACAAATCTTTTAACAAACAAAATAATTTGTTTGTAATAAAGAAAATACAGGTTTGAAATCCAGGGGAAGGGGTATTGCTGAGCAGAACCCCTTAACATTAAAGATTCCATGTATAATTCACCATGGGTTTTAAAAATAATTTTTTTGTGGGGAAAAACTTAAAACTACATTCGAAAGAGCCTATGACTTAAACTTGAAAATAAAATTGGCTTATGAAGTACTTTGTATTTGACATTATTGCAATTTGAAGTGAATGTTTTAAATAAGTTTTAAGTGTTTCTTCCTGAATCAATTAGGATTAGCCACTTCAGGATACAGATAAAAGTAACTTCTCACTAAGATTTTGGTGTGTAAAGATAACTTGAAGACTTCTAATACTCTATGCACCAGTCTTTAGGTTACCATGCTGCAAATAAATTGAAGAAATAACCATTTTATTCTATTTTTCTGTGGCTTGCCTTCTCACCCTCCACAAGTAGATGAAGAGAGATTTCTTTGGCTGGCTAAGTGTTAATGTTTAATACTGAAAAAAACCAAACTACTTGCTGCAAATAATTTCTGCTTCTGATATAGAATAAAATTTGTAGAAAATAGCTGTTATTTTAAGCTATATTTTTAAACTTCTCTCATAATAAGGCAGGTTTAGACATACATTATTATGCCAATTTAAAGACGACTATTTGCCAAAAAGAAGAATCCAGATAAGGTGGTTATACCTAAAACTGGATTTTAGACAAACATGCAGAGCTGAGCAGGTCACAGATGGGGTACGTCAGCCTCAGTCTTTACATAGCAGAAGGTTTGGATCCCCTCAGAAATGCAGTAGTACCTTGTGTGCCCAAAGGCTTTCTCTTGCTGTTTTGTTCCCTCCCTTCAGCTCCACTGACCTAAGAATTTTGTAGCAATTTTGGTTTCAGCTGGGTTTATCAAAAGCTCCTTGTCTGAACAATGCTGGGTATGTATTTAAACTGGTGCTTTAGCTTCTGTTATCTTCTAAAGGTGGGTTATTTTTGGTAGATTATACACAAGTGGGTTTCTTCAGTTAGATGATCATCCCTTTGGGTCTTTGAAGGATTTGAATGCTTTGAAATTTTCTGTTTGCCCTACAGAGAAAGGTTTAGGTTTGATATCCTGGACAGGCAAGTCTGTCTGTGTTTCTTGACTGGGATACCAGAGGTTACTTAAGACCAAAGGAGTCTGTCCAATTAGCTTTTCCTATTCCCTGGATCTGCACACTGCCCATCTGATTGGATCTAGAGCATGTGAGGAAATGGTCTTGTGGGGGACTATAGCTCCAGCTTGGGAAGAGCCTGGAAAATAACTTCTAGGCCATTGAACAAACTTCAGCATTATTTTTAATTATCTGAATGATAATTATCTGAATTATCCCTCCAACTGCAAAGTTGGAGGGAGGGTGGTCCAGTGCTTTGTTAATGAGCCTGAAGTCTGGGTGCATTCAGCAAGGAAAAGGTGCTTATCTTACAGCAGAGCTCAGTTGGTGTTGCTGTAAAACTCTTAACACTTGAAATGCTGGCTTTTAAAGGATAGACCTAACATCAAACTTTGAAGTAGTCAGCCTTCCTTTGGCCCTTTAGCTTGGAAATACATATGGGATTAACTGTTAAGAGATACCAAGCTTCTGCTGAGAAACAGGCCAGATTCTTTTCTGATGAAATGAAAAGGGTTTTTTGAGCATGTAAGTGATTATACCATTTCAAGGCATTTATTTCCAAAAGGTCATGCAGTAGAAGCATAGTATTAGTCCAGTTCCTTCAGAGATTTTATTGATATTGAATGCCTAAACTGTCAGCTTGACAAGAAATGGTAGCTGCATCCCACTTCTGTAAACCTAAGATGCCTCTAACCTGGAAGGGTTGCTTTTATGAGTCAGTATGTGCTGCATTCTCCTGAGATACTGTCTGCATACGTTACATCTTGTTCAAACTAGCCTTAAGTTCCTCCTCCTGGGTTTAGGTTGCAAAACATTATCAGTGAAGAAGTGTCACAAAATTACCTGGGAATGTTTTTCTTGTTTCACATTGCTGAAATGTAGAAAATAAATTTCTGAAACATTGCTTTAATTGAAACATTCCTAAAGTAACTATTTTCCTGTTTAAGTAACTGTTTTCTTGCTTTTATGAGTGACCTGCATGTGCTCTTTCGATGTTGTCATGCCATCTTTCTGCAAGTTATCCTCTGAATCCACTTGGAGATCACACTACTGAGGTCATAGGATATAATGTTAATATGTCTATACATTTTTTCATCTTTTTCAGAAATTGAGGTAATTGGAAGAGGGGGAGTGGGAAGATTTATCTCTTAACCTTTGAGTAACTGGAATTTGGGGAAAAGCTTGCTTTTAAACCTTACTGAGACTTGATATGCCAAGATGTTTTTAAGCTGCATAGGATATATTATATTACTCTGGTTAAGTTTGCAATAATTACCATTGCCATTTTCAGTCATAGTTTTTTTCAGAACGATTGGATTTATCTCTAAGTAATCTTTCCTGTGATAGCTCTAAGATAATTTGCGACTATGGAGGATCTACTCGCTTTCTGGAAACATTAAGATAGGATTTTATAATGTTTCCAAAGGAGTTGTCAGTAGCTTTCTGTTGATAATTATTCTGCTTTGGATTCCTCCTTGAATGATGATTTTTGTCTGGAAGATGTAGAAAGTGGCATGGTGGCCACTATATACTGATAGGGCTAAAAAAGCCCTTGCAATCTACAAGAAGAGGCATAGGTATATATTTTCGTTCTGGAAGCAGATTTCCCTTGGAATTTCTTGCACCTTGCTCTGAAGCATTTTAGCTTTGAAACTGGCACAATATTGTGAAGAAGCCACTACACTTACTAGAGTGTGTAATTGTTGATGCTCATGCACCATTTAAATGAATAAAAGTATGATCTGATAATGCTGAACACTTTTAAGTGCAGTTGTCACTATTTGTGCTGCTTTAATAACTGTAACTATTGAAAGGGTGTATGTGATTGCAGCATCTGACAAGACTCTTAAAGCTGTTTTTTTGCCTTTTGTGCTGTGGCCTACTAGGTAATGTTTGGGGGGTTATTTTGCCCTGTGTGTGTAATTTCCCCAAGTAGATAATTATATTTTCCCTGAGGTATTTCATAAAGCTGTCCTGAAGCACTGAGAAAATTGTTTTTCAAGAGCCAAAGAACTGGAGTGCCTGCGTAAATCTGTGGTGCTTAATGAGAATTATTGGAAGTTCCTGTTCTTTGATGTAGCTTTAGAAAAGAATCTAAAACTGAATGTGGTTTTAAGTTACCACATCAAATGATTTGACGTTAGAGTTTATTCATAGTGATAGATGATGACTCATTTCTTTATCACCACAGGATAAAATCTCAACTCTTCTCTCAGACACACTTCTACCTGTTTGTCTTGCACCAGATACTCCTTTTTTCTCTCCTCACTTGTGGATTGCTTCAATTATGCACATACTTATCTTTTCTGCACTTCTATTAGCTAGCTCTGAAGTTATTGTCTCTCCACTTATTTCTTTGCTGGCAATGCAAAAATGCTGGAAATGAGTTTCTGTAGGAAAGAACCTTAGTGGAGTTAGGGAGATCTGGGTCTGTTCAGTGTCTGCTCATAGCTGCAAAACCTATTTGATGGAAAAAGAGTAATGAAAATGTGTAACATCAGTGTATTTTCTGCATTTTGTTGTGATGCTGCCTTGCTTTTACTGATGTTAATGAAGATCATTAACTTTCCCCACACCTCCTACTGAAGGTAGAACAGTTGCAGTAAATCCTTAGTGACTGCATCATGGACATTGGCCAAACAATTCTGCCTGTAAATTGTCTGCAAATTTGGTGTATCCTGCATATTGCTAGCATTCTAGAACATTTCTTTGTAAGGGAAGTATTTGTAAGAAAACAAACAATAACTTCTTAATTTTGGATTTGGTGTCACTGTTCTACAATGTTTTAGGTTATTCATCTTAAAATGCAGTAGGGAATTTTCTTTGTCACCAGTTTTTGGAGCTATATTGCACTAACTGTAAATTACTGCACCAGATCATTTGTATTTCTATAACTTGATACTGGACTTGAAATGCAACATGTTTAATATCAACAAGAAACCTCCTAATTGCTGGATCCATCATGAAGCCTGCCAGTCAGTTCAGCCATGAAGAATGCCAGGGAACAATTGAAAATATAGGAGAGGGAATCCTCAGCTTTGCCACAGCAGGGAGAAGGACCCCTGCTTTTTAGAGTCCCTTTCACAGTAAAACTACATGGAACTAGATTTATGTACTTTGGAAGGGGGAAGGACTGAGTCAGCCCGGTTGGAATTTGAACTTTTGTGCTAGGGCGCTTCAATGATTCCAAGTCTGAGCTTACACTGCATTACTTTAAACAGTATACAAGAGCTTAGTGCATTGGAGCAATAAGTCTGCAACCTGTTGTTGCTATGTGCAGGTCAGATTTTGGGTTTAGTGTGACTTCAATTCCCAACTTCAATGTTAATTATTTTTTCTGATGGTGTTTTTAATTGAGCATTTCAGAATCTACTGTTTGATACTCTGTATGTATTCAGTATTGAATGAAATTGATACATAAAAGATAATATATGCAGTACATTTTCAGATGCATCAGGGCTTTGTTTTTCATCTTGCAGTTATTAGATAAGCAAGCTGGAGCTCAGATTGTGTCCCTTTGTTCCTTCAAGGACCCGAGATCAGAATTTCCCTTTGAAATGCAGCTGCTCTCCACCTCTCTCAGCTGCTTTTCCTGTACCAAATCAAACATCAAAATTCTCATACCATGTTTAGCTTTACTCAGCAAGCACACAGTTTGAAACTTGGTATTCTTTACATTCTACATAGCTTCTGTCAAGAAAAGAAAAAAGCAAGCTGTGTGTTGTTTTTCAGGTGCTAAAATCAAGATTATTCCTGAACATTTGACCTATCTGTGTTTGGGATGACCGAAGGAATATCTTATTTATGCATGTAATGTTAATTTAATGCCAACTTTCCCTTTAAGTAATGTCTTGTGGTTCCATGCTGAGGTGTGTGCCCTCAGGCACAGCTGTAATTATGAATAAAGCATGGTACAGAATGCAGTTGTGTTAAAAAAGTGCAGCAGATCTTTTGGGCAAGTGAAATGGCAGAAATCAAGATGTTGCTAAAGCTTGGGCTGCTGGGACACAAACACCACCAGCCTTGTGACATGGAAAGCTTTTCTGAAAGCTTGGTTGGGTCTGTGTTTGCTCTCTGCCCAGAAGCAACACTTGTCCTCTGTAGTGTGTGTCTTTCTCCTGGGCATTATTCTGAGGAACAAGGCAAGTGCAGCAGGCATCCAGTGTTCTCCCCAGGGAAAAGGATTAATATTTTGAGCTTGCTGTTATTTCATTTGCACCCTTCTTTGACTGTTGTGGGGCAGGGTATGACAGTGTTGAGGCTTAAATATTTAGTAAACTCTGTCATGAAAAGTGGTTTATGTTCAGCTGTTCAAATTTGACACCAAACTCTCCCTTGCCTTTTATTACAGGTGACAATTTATGTGGGTGATATGGATAACAGGCTCAGTATTGACAGGTTTTGTGTCAGGTCTGCACTAATCTTGCTCCTTGACAGTTTTAGCAGAGTTGGTGATTGATGTGGTTGATTTGATGGTATCCTGTATTTTGCTGTTATCAGCCAAAAGCAAGGGCCACAGATGCAATTTCTGATTTAAATCCTTTTTATGATGTTTGCTGGCTAAGCTGCCAATGCTAATAAGCTACTTTACTCTTAAGCTTTATCAGTTTGCTATTATTGTTGTTAAAGCCAAGGAAAGTACAAATCAGCCTTGTCACATCATTATGATATAAAACAAATACTGGAGTTGGCACAGATACTGTAAAAAGGGCAACTCTGCTGTTACTTGAGTCTAGCTTGTTTAGAAGTTACTGTATTCAGACCTCTTTTTTCAGAATAACAAAAATTATTTGCTGAAAATTCATCTATGCCAAGTTTCTTGCGTAGTTTTAATTTTTTTTTTTTAATTTCCAACAAATTGTAAAACAATTAAAACCATTTTTTCTAGTCTTCTTCCCCCCTTATTTTTTTTAATCTGTTTTCAGAACTTTTTTTGCTCCCCTACTAAGTGTATACATTCAAATGATGTATTGTTCTAAAATACTGCTTGAACCACGTTCTCATTGAACTTAAAAACTGACATTTAGATCTATTTTTTTTTCACCTTGCAAAGGGGAACTGCAAATAATTGCTCAATTAAAAAAAAAAAAAAACAACAACAACAAAAAAACCCACAATACAACATCCACACCCTAGGGTTGGGAATTTTTGCTCATGTTCTTGAATATCTTGGGCACTATCTGCCTATTGATAACTCCTATCCAAAGGGAGGAGGAAGCAAAGAAGATTGATTGTGCAACTGAAGAAAACTTGACTGGGAGAAACAATGAAGATTTTCCATCCAGATCCAATTAGAAATTCACACAGCCCCAGTGCTCAATGTCGTTTCCCTGGGCTTTTTCTGGAATGACAAGAGACACCAGAGGACTTGAGCTGTCCTGTAGCTCTTGCTGGGTCAATGTGCGGACATTTCAACTTGTTCAGTGTATGCTTGGACAAAGAAAAGGTACTGCTTTCCAGTTCAACCAGTCTAAGCCAAACTGCATCCAGGTCCTGAGTTAGTTTAGATCAGAATATCACTCCTGAAGCAGAGCTCTCCATCACCCCCACTTACCCACCTGTAGTTTTTACTGCAGAGCTCCCTGAACACTTCATTGAATTCCTTTTGGACAAAACTAAATGAAGACATACTTCAGAGTGTTCCTGATATGCTCCAACCACAAATGCTTCTCTCTCTGTAGGACCAAATTAAAGCTAATGAAGAAATCATTGAAATGTGCATTGGATGTACAATTGTTTACACATCTGCTTTTATGGGATCACAGAACTAACAGGCATAGGCAAATGGTGCTACCCTAGAGCTGTGCTGCTTTTGCTTACATCGACTCCACCAAAGACCAAAATGAGGACACAGAACTTCTTAACTTCTAAAATAATTACTGGAAAAAAGCAATTTACAAACCATGATAACTACTGGCAGATTTTCCTATCCAAGTTCTTTAGCACTGTGATGCTGCACAGGCTGGGAGTGAGAGGAGTATTTCTCTTCCTGCTGAGGAAGTAGTACCTGCAATCTTGCACATCCTCACTCACTTTGTCTTGTTTCAGTATCCTGCTGTGGCTTATGCTTTTTTAAATGAAGCTGAAACCAGCAAAATGTCTTTAAATATTATAAGCTTTACATTTCACTTAAGAGCTGTTCTGGTGCAGCACAGTGTCTTCACTGGAGGTAGTGACTAAGGTGGGGGAAATCACAGTGGTGATAGCAGGATTAGTTCTAAGTTGTGGATGTGGCTTTTTGTGGCCTATTTCCAACATGGTGCAGAGGAAGTACTCACAAGCACTCTGTCCTAGAGCTTTTCAGGAAACTATTCATGGGATGTTGTAATGCCTCTGCTTTCATAGGGACTTCCAATATCCCTCTGAAAAACATTAGGGATAAAATCGTTTGCTTATGCTTTGTTTGCTGAGCATATTGCTGAAGAAGGCCACCTGGGCAATGGCTATTGCCACAATAGAAATTCTCACTTAGCCCTTTTCTGTGGCTGTAAGGTGAATACTTCTTGGAATTGCACTGACTGAACATGGTAGTGATACTTGTGTCCTGCATCATAATTTTGGTTGAGAGAGAGCAGCACAAGCAGTGTGCAGGTGAGTCACACACACACAAGAAGCTCTCTGGGATGACCTGAGTGCCTATTCTGTCTATAACAAACCAGTCTGGGGAAGGTGGACAGAAACAACTGCAAAATTATTTTCCAGGCACAGAGTTAAAGCAGATGGGACTCAGCAGCTCTTTAGGCCCCTGAATGGACCTGCCTGGAATCCTTTTTTCTTAAATAAATCTCTTGAAGAAAAGCTGAGTAACCATTGGTTTTTATGTCCTGTCCCTTAGCTAAAGTCCCATTTCCAAAACGAAGTAATTTCCTTCTTATTCTGGGAGTTGCAAGGTTGGGTCCTAGAAAGGACAAAAAATTACTTAAGATATTTTGACAAATTGTCACTTAACACAAGGGAGTGCATTCATATAGTGCAGAACTTGTTCAGAAACCTTCTACTGTCTCTGTCGCATTAAGTGCTCACAATAACACTGATTGTAATCTTTCTTCAGTCTGATTAAACCTTCATCACATTGGTACAAGCTACATTTTGACAGGCAATCATTAATGTTTATGAAGCACACTGAGAATGAAAAAGATGACTGGTAATGTGAGAAGCTACGCTGTACTTGATTGTTCTTGTGCCCAGTTGCTCGAAGTACAATTGTGTGTGCTCATAACAAGGGTTAGCTTGGAAACCAGCCATGGAATTATTCTGATGTCACAAACATCACTAATCAAATGCTCATTGATCATGCAAAGTGGCAAAATTCATCAAGCAGGTTTCATAGACATATTTTAAACAAGTTGGGCACCTTCCAGAGATCAGATTGATTGTCCTGTGGGTAATGCAAAGCAGGCAGCAATCATATTTCCCTGATGGAGGGTGGAATGCCTACAGCTCTAGGGAGCAAGTTCCCACCTTTTGCCAGGCAAGGACAGTGAGGCTGGGAGGGAGCAGCAGGAAAGGGATGGCTTTGGGGTACAGGATTCAAAACAGACTCTGGGTTTGTTCCTACCTGCACAGTATGAATGGATACAAATGAAAGATAACACCCTCCCCTACAGCTGTCTTCCTTACTTTTTAATAGCCATTTGCAATATGTCACAAAGTGTTTCAGTCAGGGAACTGATGAGGTGCCCTTTCCATTTAATTTTTTTCCCAGCTGATGTGGCCCATCTGTTAGGTGTCACTCAAAGTGGTGAACAGATGTTGAATTAATTGTGGAAGTGTCTGTTACCCACGAGGATTAAAAGCATTTGCCCTCCAAAGATGCTGGGCTAGGGTGAAACTTGGATTAAGCACAGCAAACAGCAATTTTGCTTCTCTCAAATGGCCCTGATGCAAATATAGGAGATGTTTTTCAATCTCATATTTGATTGTGGCAATTGGTGAGTGTCCTGCTGCTGCTTTATTTTCAGGGAAGAGTAGTCTGTTTTTTTTTAGCGTCTGAGTTCCTGTGTCATAGCCCCTGCCCTCCAGCCTGCTCTAGTGAAAGAGGCACACCCAATTAAGCCTCAGTGGCTTAGTTTAGTTATGCAGCTCTGGATGTGACAGTGGTGGATCTTAATGCCTGCATGAAAAATCATGTTAGTTATCACCATCTTTTTGAACCCATATAAGTTGTTCTGTGATTCCCATGTAAGCCAGTAAAGAGTGGCTGTCACTGTAAAGCAGCAACAGCCAGGGCAGCATGTACAAAGAGACATTCTGGAAACAATCACCCCAATTTTGAGAGGCTTCACTTTGTAATAGAATTGGAACATGCCAGTTTGTCTGGTCATGCACAGTCCTACACAGATTTACTCTTCTTATTAGTTACTCTTGATAATTGTCAAATCCAAAGCAAATATTTAATCCTGGATCATTGATTTAAACTTCTTAAAATGCAAGTTCTTTAATTTGAAGAGGCTTAGCAAATGTTTCATTAAATCTGACAGGTTTATAGGCCCCGATTTTTCAAAGAATATGAGTTTTACCTTAAGTGTCTTCAAATATCCAGGTCTTAATTTATGTAAGTATCTTAGGGGCTGATGAGTGATACTGATCACTGAGGATGCTAAGATAGTGGCCAGTCTGAAAGAAATTTACTGCATGGCCTTAAATGCTGAACTCCTATTGAAATATTTACTACCTCAAGTCACACAGAGTCTTGGGGAATTGCTTGATAGTCCTAAGAGTTTACAAACACTTTAATGCAGTACAGAGAAAAAAAAAAATCTAGTCCAAAAGATAGTTATAGGAATCAATCAAAGGATGCAGGGAGGACCATTGCTCTCCAAATGCTTTTCTAACTAGACTGGCTGGTTAAATCTGCAGACCTCAGATTCAGCATCTTATTTCCAGCTCATAACAATCCGTGAAAATTAATTTAGGAATTGTGGTCAAGAAATTATCTAACTTTATTTTTAAAAACACAGATGCCATGTCCTTTTGTCTTTCTTTGATAGTTGATGGTTTTGTGTGATTCTTGCTGGTATTTTCTTTATTTGGGAAATGTCTTGAATGGAAATTCCAACCATCTTCAGCCATGTAGCACCTTTCATTAGAAAGAGCTTGCCTGTTTTTTTGCATTTGTGCAAAGTATCCAGGCATTCAGATAGTTTTTGCATAGATTCTAATATGTGTTGTTTAGATTGGCACAAAGAATTCTCAAATTAAATTTTCATTAAATTTTTGTATTGGATAACCTTTTGGAAAATGAGATGAAGGGAAAGAAAAATAGTGTTTGCAATTAAATTAGAATGTGTTAAGAATGATAGAGAGCCTTCTTTTTAAGTTGCTTTTAGAGTTAATTTTAATTGAACAATTAGTTCTTTTTTCAGAGATAAATATCTTCCTGAAATCCCACTCTATTCCCTTATAAGCATCTCCTCAGAGCCAATTTGTTTTAGATCCTCATCAAGAAGTGAAGTAGGAACAGTAGCTTTGATCTGCAGGAATCTGCACAGAACCAGCTATAAGGGTCTAAATGAAGAAGAAGAAGTATGAGCCAGTCCTTTGTCTTTCACCTTTCGTTTATAAATTACCATGGTGAAGTTACAAAAAAAGTCCATTTATCTTCACTTTTTCCCAAATGCCAGTATTGATTTTAAAGCTCCCCATGTTGTGGAATCACACTGTTGTGATCCTCTGTGCAGTGCTATTTCATACTCTCCAGTCCCTGAGCTGCTGTTGCTTCCAAGGAAATGTGGCATATCCAGTGTTGCTCCCACGCTTGTATCCATGCAACTGCCTTTGGCTACTGCTGAAGAGTGTGACACTCCTTCAGCTGCTTCTCTCAGGACTTGTGCTCCAGACCCTTCACCAGCTTTATTGCCCTTCTTTGAAAACACAGCTAGTTCAAATAGTGTCTCTGCACTGTATTTAATTATCTTAGTTAATACAGACATTCATATTCTTAAATAAAAGGGATCCTCTGGTAAACAAAACACTTTTTTGGTGTGCCCAGGTCTGTCTCTGGAATGGTGTTTAAATCCTTGACAGACATTTTCACACAGTTTGATTTTTCTGTCCCTAAAACCTTTGTGTGGCTGTCATTCTTTCTAAGTGTTAGCTGGATGGTTATTTCTGACTGCTGCTGCTAAGATGGAAATGAAGAATAAAAATTCCATGTGTTTCTCTGAGTTATGCCAGCAGGAGAGTCATCAAAGCTTCCTTCTGGAAAGAGGCCAGATGTTCTAACAAACAATAAACTTAAGTAAAAAGAAGAAAGAGAAAGCATGCAGGCAACGTTTTTTAGCTAAAGGAAAAATAATCTGTTTGCATGTGCTGGGAAGACAAAAAGAGTTACATTTAATTAGCTTTGGAGAATGTGGCTGCTACTCTTAATTTATGATGATGTATATGAAGCATTCACAATCTCTCCCCCTAACACAGGCATGCTTTTCCATGCAATCAAAGGCACGTGCAAGATTTATGTCAGTACTGGATTGCATCTCACCCAGGTTCATTTCACACGTCTGCTTTAAAACATGACAAACTTAACCCAGGAGCTGATTGTGCTTTCTTAATCCTTATAAAAGAAACCCCTTTCACAGAAGGGAGCTGGGGCTCAATCCAGATGCTTGATTTCAGATGTTTGAGGGCACCTCCCTTGTCCTTCATCTGCTGGTCAGGTGGGTGGGTGACTTACAGCTCCTGCATGGTCACAGCCAGTCCCATCTGGATGTCTGAAGAACTGAAATGCTGAATTGATGCCACAGGATGGAGCTTGGCTTGATGGCCAGGAACTCACAGCAACAGGATCCTGAGAAAGGCCTGGAAAAGGTTTTTTGCTGGTATGTACAGTGGCACTCCCTCCTGCTCCCTGCTGAGGGAAACAGGGCTTGTTAGTATACAGGGATGCAAGGAAAAGCCATTCCACTGTTGCCTTCAGAAACCCAGAGAACTCCAGGGTCCTTTAGCAACTTGTGCCAAAGAGTGAGAGTTACCCTTTATCCTTGTTCTTCATTTCACAAAACAATGTGGTATAACAACTCTCACATGTGTATGAGTTAGACATGGCAAACAGCGCCACCAAAAATCAGCCAATGCTGCACCTGCCAAGGAAATCCTCAGATTGGAATCCAATTCTTTAGATTCTTTAGACTTCTTTAGAAGTGGCTGGTGCTTATAAGATTCTTAACACTGATGGGCAGAAAATAGCATAGTATCTTATTGTGGGCAAAGCTGTATTATTTACCTTTGATAGATCCATAGAGTATAAAAATTAAAGGGAGTCAGGAGTTAAGCAAAAGCTCAGTGAAACAAACTGGTGCTGACATACACAGATAATGTCAACTGATAGCTTTTTGGCATTATGTATTGTTTTATAATTAGGTAATTAAAGCAAGTCTGTACAAACTTTAGCTTTCAGGAAGCTGTAAAGATACATGTAGCTGTAAAGTTATATTTAGCCATTAAATTCTTGTCAAGTCTGTCATACTTTCTCATAAAATGTGTAATAAAGAAGCTTAAACATGCACAGTCTCATGCATTTCTTCTAGAAACTGAGGTATGTAACAGTGCAGCTCTAGAATACCAAAGTACAATAGTAAATATATATATATAACTCTTTGCACTTCATTCCTTTTCAGATTGAAGATGTTTTTACAGCTTTAATCTTTTAAAGGCAGGAGAACACTTAAGTCCCACCAGAAGCCAGTCCCACTGACTTGGCTGAAATTATGCAAAAATGTCAAGCTTTTTAAGCAGGTTCTCTAGACTGAGAACTGGAACTGCTGGGTACTATTCCATTGCCAGAAAATAAATCCTAAGACTTCATAGGGAAAAGAGATGTTATTTGAACCAGCACAGGGTCTTTCTTCTGGGTCTTGTAGATCCAAGTATTGTAGACAATACAGAGACAGCTCATGACAGACATAAAGGAGCTGAGGATGAATGAAGGCACAACAGCAGATTCATAGTAAAAAAATAATCAGAATAAAAGCCTATAGAACAGGCTTAAAGCTAGGACATCAGTTTAATTCTCAGTCGTACTTGGAAGTCAATGGACTTTTATATCTGTAGCTTGAAGATTAATTTTTTTCTATAGATCTGAATTTTCAATGATCTGTTCAGTGGACCCAGTTTCTTTTAAAAAAATGCAAACTAATTTTCAAAAAGCTTTCTGCATTTTTTCAGTTGAGGCATTTTTTGCATATTACTTTTAGTTTCAATTGACTGACATTTTTCACCAGAAATCAGGCACCACAAGTTGTACAGAACAGACAGAAATCTATCATGGACATCTT